TGTTACTCACAAAGCAATTAATGATTTCTTTCACTTCCCCTTCCCATTCCCCTATCACGTCTAAACTTCAAAGCCTTCCCCTCCCCCCAAAATTCCAAACATACCCTTAGGTTCTTTGGAAGGCTTATTCTAGTTTATTTTAAGTCACTTTACAATAGTCTATGTTGCTTGGAAACGTGAAAATCATGAAGAAACACCATCTTTTACTCGAAAAATAACTTTACGGAGAGTTTCCAACGAATTTCGGCAGAGTTTCTGAAACAGAAATGCCTACTGAGAGTTTCAGTGCTACGTAGACAATAGTCTATTTTTATAAGTGCAATTAGATTGGCTTTAAATTAGAGCAAGAAGTTCAGATTCGCCTACTGAGAACTGAAAAGCTCCTAGTAAACTTGTATCAGTAGAAGAAACTAGAAGCAACATGCCCGAGTGATAAAGTCCAATAATTTTAACTAATTTTTATTTCTTTGTTTACTATTCATGTTTACAAAATGCATCATGCAATGGATACCTTCCTTAAATCAGTTGCATTGCCACATGAGAAGACTTTGGATGGCTTAGTGAATAGAAGGTGTTTAAAAATCAAATAAAAGGTGTTTGAAATATTTTGAAATATTTTTCGGAGTATAAATTTTATAACATCTCTCTCTCTCTCTCTCTCTCTCTCTTTCTATATATATATATATATATATATATATATATATATATATATATATATATATATATATAGGCTAAACCCTCCAAAACCTTCTCTTCCACATCCCTCCATCCAAAGTTCCACACCATGAATTCTTTCATGTTTCTTTACGAGTAAAAACCTGTTTCTTGCTTTGGTACAAGCAAGCCCAATTAATTCCATTTTGCTAAATTGATATGTTATTTTTGTTCATACTTCTTGCTACATAAGTGTGGTCATTGTTTATGCTTATTTTTCAGTTACATAAGTTGGAGACCAAGTTGACCTTCTACAGTGAAATAGAGAGCACCTTAGTCAGAGTTAGAGAACAGTTGGATAGGTCGAAACAGAAACTTTTCCATGAGAGAGCACATATAATCGCAACCCGGTTAGGCATGTCTTCAACAACTTCAGCTCGTCCTATATCCCAGCCATTGCCTGTGACAGCACCTAGGCCTTTAACTGGCATGGGCTCTACAAGGCCACCATTTTCAAGACCCATGATGTCATCAGTGGCTGCTCCCAGCTCATTTATCCCCACAGCAGTTGCAGGAAGTTCATTACAACCTCCAAGCACCGAGAATGCCTCTTCTGTAGGGAATAAGTAACCTTTTTTGCTCCAGAGCAGCATTTTGTTTTCTATTTCTTGAGACACCCCTGGGAAACAGTTTCAGCATCAAGTAAGCCTTTCTTTATGTTTATATTTGTCTTCCATCGTAAATAAGTGTCATGTTTTGAACACTTATTGTCCCAAATATAGAGTCAAATTTGATCAAACAAAGCTAAATATTCACGTGAATACTACCTCTATACCAAAATTTATTTCTCGTTCGCTATTCCTAAACTCACTCTTAATATCTCATTTTATATATCAAAATTTTATCATCTGCTAATTCTGTTTTTGCAGCTGAATAGAACTTTGAGTGTAGTTTCTAATATGTAAGTTTTATTTTTCAGTACTAATTTGAGTATTATCAGGGAACATAATAAACCGAAACATGACCTTTTTGGGACATAGGGAGTTTGTAGTTTGCCAATCAAGTTACTCTGTACATACTATACAAGTATGCCTAACGGCTAACACTTTATGGCTATCTTAACAAAATTCAAAAGTTGTACATAGTTGAAACATGACCTCTTTTTGGATGGAGGCAGTATCCTTTCAGTGTTTTAATCAATAAGGCTTGGAGTTTTTGTGTTTATTTATTTATTTATTTATTTATTTATTTATTTATTTATTTATTTATTTATTTATTTATTTATTTATTTATTTATTTATTTATTTATTTATTTATTTATTTATTTATTTATTTATTTATTTATTTATTTATTTATTTATTTATTTATTTATTTATCTATTTACCTATTATACTTTAGATTAATTCTGATTGTAATTATATTTAAGTCTTTGATTTGCATATTACGTTTTACAGATTCTTTGTGTGCTTCTCAACAGCCACGTTTGGCCAGGAAGGTATTTGCAGTGAAAGGCAGCCAGATATTTATTTAGCATGAACTAATAGTTATTATAATTAGAACTTTTTAAGCTTTAGCAGGTAGCCCCGTAGCAGCTTACATATAATTTTTTTAGGAGCCGGCATCGGAATAGGCCTCCTCTCAGTTCTTCTATATCTGTTTTCAGTGGCTCTTGGTGAGTTGGTGTAGTAAAATCACTTGTTTATTGTAGTGTCTAGTTTCCTGTATGCTTCAAGTATATGTAAAACTGTAAGCCTTTCAAATGAACATTTTTTCTTCATATTCCCATTTGCTTTGGGCCTTCGTTAACCTGGCAATATTTTTTGTCACTTTCCATGAAAATAGTTGCAGTTAGCAAATAAGGCATTGTATGGAAAACATTTTTTCTTGAAAAGCTTTTATTTTTTTTAATCTTTTAAAGCTTATTTACCACATCAAAGAGCTAATTGAAGAATTCGGAGAACAGCCCATCATATTAAGCAATTTAGTAAAAATAGAGAATGAAGCTTATTGGATTGGTTTTTGGGACGGGTCACGGGTGGATAAGGTTCTCGGACCAGGCTGGAATCAAAAGGGGCTTTTACTTGATCCAAAATTGGCCCATACCAGTTCAAATTGACCCTGGATTTGGTTCCATACATGTACAAATGTGTGTGGTTGTGTATTTGTAAAAACATATACAATTAAGTCTATTATTATATTCCTTCAAAAAAAAAAAAAAGTCTATTATTATATAGTAAAAACATATACTCCGTATTGTATAATCTGGAGTAAAAACATTTTAAAAACATATACTATTAAGTCTAGTATTGACCCTGGAGTACCATATTGTATAATCTAATATTGTGTATTTGTAAAACATATACTATTATTATATAATGTAACGATATAAGTAAATTCTGTTCTATGTTTACGTTTGTCAACGTATAAGTTTGATCATTAATATCTTTAATTACTTATTAGTAAATAATTAAGAAATTCAGATTTTGAAAATTTAAAATGAGATGAACTTAGCAATATTTAAAATAATAATAATTTATGACACATTAATAATTAAAATGAAATCAAGGTAAATATGATAGTGCAATAATTCGAATTACATGTACACAACTTATGTTCAATTATACACTACACCAACAGTTTTTTAGTAAACACAATAGAAGTTCATTCAATTTTAAGACTTTTACAAACTCCCCCAAATTCTTTTTATCTAATTTATTTTTGGGCGACAAGACTCGATCATTCAAGAATGTTGTAATATGGGAGAAATATAGTGTGTTAGATCTGATGAGAGAAGCATGACATACGTAAAGAGTTCAACAACCCTTTCTACATATAATTTATAAGTAGCTAGGTTATGTGATATATTATAGGAAAAATAATTTAAATATCTCAACTTTAAATTGAAGAGGTGTGAGATAAGTACTCTAATTTGCACCTGTAATATATACCCCAAAGTATATATAAAAAAGGGTAAAATAAATAATATACCCCGAACTTTGCCCTAGTGTGAGCTCCCCACCCCGAACTTGTCCTAGTTTAAAAAATACCCCAACTTTATTTATTTAAATTTTTTGTACCATATTTTAATTAACAAATAATATTTCTCAAATTATAATATGTTAATTAGATTTAGTTGTCAAAAAAGATCAATTAACATATTTTTTGTACTTAAATTAGAGATTTTGAAGTTATTTAATCAATTCGAAAAGCACACATTAATTTGGGAATCACACATCTTTTTTTGCCAACTAAATCTAATAAAATATTACAATTTGAGAAATATTATTTGTTTATTAAAATATGGTACAAAAATATTAAATAAATAAAGTTGAGGGTATTTTTTAAACTATGACAAGTTTGGGGTGGGGAGCTCACACCAAGGCAAAGTTGGGGGTATATTATTTATTTTCCCCTATAAAAAATTATGTTAGACCCATGATCATATATTTTTCACAAATATAATTTTATGGTATTAAGTATATAATTTAAAATACACAAAATATTTATGATGATGCAATTAAATTAAATTGTACCGGATGTAATATTATTTATTTCATTTCACAAACGAAATTTAAAATGTTAACTGCAGTCTAACAAATCTTAAAGAATTTTAAATTATGTAATTATTCCAAAAAGAATTGTACTTGTAAAATAACATACAATCGTGGTGCGAAAATAACTTTTCATACAAAGTTCGGGGTATGCATATTAAATATGCAAGTTTGAAGGTACTTATCTCACACCTCATTACAGTTTAGGGTATTTTAATTATTTTCTTCTATATTATATAAAGTATTTTCCCCGTTCTTCAATAGTTGCAACACTTTGATTTTACATCATTCACATTTGAGTATATTTTATTTATTAATATATTAATAAGTATACAATACAAAATATATATAAAAATTGTTTCAAAGTAAATATCCAAATATGAATCTTTATATGTTTTTAATAACAACGAATTAAACTTGATCAAAGGCATTTTTTATAAACGTGAAAATCCAAGTGTTTTAAGTAATTAAATAAGCTTATAATCTTTATAATTAAGTTTGCTAGTAACATTTTTTTGACAAAAGTTTTACCAGTAACATTGGAGAGGGGTTTATGTGTCTACTTGTTATTATAAGTAACTAAGTATTGAGAGATTGATATATGAGCAACTCATATTTATTTTTTTAGGGTGAGAATATGAGATTTATAATAATGAAGAAATGATTAATGGGTATATAGACAGATGACCTCAAAAAATGGAAAGAGGGACTATTAGCCTTAAGTTTAGGAGGAGATGTGTAAGGGGATGGAAAGACGGCTCCCTTAGAATTTTCTTCTTCCTTGAAACTTTTATCATGCAACTTCTCTTTTCTCTTCTTCCTTTCTGCAGACTCTCCCCTGCCCTTCTCCTAGAGGTGGTAAATATCTTCAATTCTTCATCTCATCCCCTTATATTATCCTTCCTTCTGTTTCTATTATTTTTTTTAGCATTATGATATTCCATATATATAGCTTCTGACAAAATTCAATCATGATATATAATATAATTGTATAGATGTATATAGATGTCAAACAATATCTACAACTTTTGGCGTCAATTTATGTAACAAGGCAAATGCTTGTTTATTCTTGATGAAATTTTGATGCATGTGCATGGTAAATTGGTAATAATTATATATAAATAATTATGGATATTTAATTAATGTATTTTTAGATTTCTTGTTACCATTGGGGTTCCATGATAGTCTCTTATATTTATATGCTACAGTTTAATTATTAGTTCATATTTTAACCGGAATGTATATTCATATTTCAGGTATTAGTTTTTGGGAGATAGGCAGGGATGTCTTCCCCGCCGCCGTCTCAAGAATCTCCGCCACCACCCGCTCCTCCATCTCCTGATAAATCATCGCCCCCTCCACCAGATAGCTCATCGTCGCCGCCTCCTCCACCGGATAATTCATCACCGCCTCCCCCGCCAGATTCATCGCCGCCGCCTTCACCGGATTCTGACAATAGCCCACCTCTACCTCCGAGCAACAACTCACCACCGCCGGGAAATAGTGAAGCGAGTCCTCCCCCTCCACCCCTCTCACCACATTCCTCAAATGGGGATTCATCGCCTCCGCCACCTCCGCCCCGCTCTAAACCGCCCCCTCGTCCAAAGCGCCACAAATCGGCGAATGACACGTCGTCGTCATCAAATGATGATAGCAGTGAAAACGCGATAGTGGCCGGAGCTGCGGCAGGAGCAGCGTTGCTACTGGTGGTAATGCTAATCTTGTTTATTTGTTGCTGTAAACGGAAAAAGCGAAGGCGACATAATCGGATGGCCTATTATGCCGATCATTCTCCTAGGAAAGGTATGTATTCATGCATAATAATTAGGATGTCAAAAATTTCAGAAATGCTTAATGCACACATTTTCACGCTTCGAAATTTCAATCTATGACACACACAATTAGTACAATTTTTTGAATAATGTTTAGATGAATTACCTATGGTATAGACAAATCACATCTGTTACTAACAAAATGTCAAGGCGTGTACAAAAACGTATATATAGCATTTCCTAAACATGTACTTGTCCCTAAAGTAGTCCTTGTAACATTTTACTTTCTTATTCAATTAGTTTAATATTTGACTACTGTTTTTTTGAAAAGCTACTTTCAATAATAAAGTAATCTCATAAAAATCTAAAAATTATAATTTGCATTACAACATATCCATTGAAAAAGAGGAAATTTGACTTTGCACCCCACTTTTTGGGTGATATTAGACTTTGCACTCTATTTTCAAAAAATTTTGACTTTGCACCCCAACACATCATTTTGTGAAGAAAGATTTCTAAATGAGGTGCAAAGTCAAGGAATTTTAAGTGGAATGAGGTGCAAAATTAAAGTTTTTTCAAAATAGAATGCAAAGTCCAATATCACCCAAAAAGTGGGGTGCAAAGTCAAATTTCACCTAAAAAAAATTAGTCAAATCATAACATACTAGAATGTATACAAACTTCATATTGGATTTGGAATTATAAAAGTAAAAACTGTGTTTGCCGTTTAAATTTGTGCAAAGAACATAGAAATGAACATAATTATAAATTCATCTTTTTTTAAAGAAAGTAACAATTTTTTTGGTATGAAACATGAAAAGGAATAGTTTTCAAATTAATAAGTTTTTATTCGGAAAATCTAAGGTAATTAAGGAGAAGAACTGAAGAACTCCATCCATCAACCAAGTCAATCATTCAATTTACAAACAGGGCATTTGATGATTCTAATTTTGCAGGCGGCAATGGCTACTACAACAATCCCAATAACGGGCAATATGGGAACTGGAACCCAAATCAAATGCCGTCCAGCGATTATTTCGTGAAGATGCCACCGCCTCCTCCCAGCGCGGGAGTGAGTTCAGAGCACACCTGGCCCATCGGGCCGCCTCCGCCTCCGCCGCCACTGCACAGCAGCGACATGAGCTCCGCTGCGTTCTCCGGGCCACATCAACCCCCAAAGCCACCTCCGCATCCATCCATGGCCCTGGGATTCAACCAGAGCAGCTTCACATACGAAGATCTGGCGGCCGCAACGGGCGGATTTTCGAAGGAGAAGCTATTAGGGCAAGGGGGATTCGGGTATGTGTACAAAGGGGTGTTGCCGAACGGGAAGGACATCGCCGTGAAATGCCTGAAGACGAACAGCGGGCAGGGGGAGAGGGAGTTTCAGGCGGAGGTGGAGATAATCAGCCGCGTCCATCACCGTCACCTGGTGTCTCTGGTCGGCTATTGCATTTCTGGGGCTCAGAGGATGCTCATTTATGAGTTTGTTCCTAACAATACTCTTGAATATCATCTTCAAGGTAACATATACAAACATTTGATCACTCTCTTTTTATTTTATATATCATCTTCAAAGTATATACTAGTATGAATTTTTAAAATTTAGTCATTTTTTGTGATGTTAAAGTTTGAAAAAATAATTACACGAATATAACTAAAAAAAATGATGTTTATAAAAATATAATTTCCTGATTGTAGTCACTATATAGTAACTTAATCGTAGTCACCTATACTTTACTTTCACATTTAAGTTACTGTGATATTATACTACAATAACGATTAGTCATATTTTCTTAAATATGTTTTATTTAGTAATATTTTAAAAAAAATCCTAAAGTTTATCGTAGGAAAAATAAAAAAAAAATAAAGTTTTAGAAGACGGGAAAGATGGAACTAGTATTATTTCAATAAAGAAACGTGATTTTATACATAAATACATGTATATTTATGTGTAACAGTCATTTATTAATTTTTGAAAAGTTATTTAAAGTCCATTTGATACCACCAAAATTGGCTCAATCTGCTGATTGGCTGGATTATGAAAAAATATTTAAAATGTATTTTATTAATAAAATAAAGAAAAAATATATGAAAAATAGCTATAATGGTTTTCTACAATAACTTCAGTCAATTTAGGCAGAAAATAACTCCAATCCTACTTATTTTGATTATTACAAAAACTGAAAAACAAAAGTTACATGTTTGATGAAAATGTTGATTAATAAGATTGATAAACCCAAAAATAGGGTCACCAAAACTGTTAACTCTTTAACACTAAATAAGTAGGTGTAATGTGCATGTACATAAAAATGTGCAGAAACATATAGCGGGTACATGTAATGTGAACTTCTAAATATACTGTATGATTTATATAATCAAGTAAATTTTTTTAAATGTATTTTGGATACGTCAATACTGTGGATGTTTTATAAGTGAAACATTGCAGCTCCTGGCCGCCCTGTTATGGACTTCGAAACAAGGCTCAAAATTGCACTGGGAACGGCCAAAGGTTTTGCCTATCTACACGAAGATTGTGAGTTGAAAGCCTTATTATAGTAATTAATTAATTCCGTTCATGATCAAAATTGTGGGAAATGATAATTAAACTTGGTTTTTGAATATATTGCAGGCCACCCTCGCATCATACATAGAGATATCAAGGCTGCAAATATTCTCCTAGACTACAATTTTGATGCCAAGGTATTACGGAGTATTATATTTACTCCCATAGGGTTCTAAAATTGAGTCTATCCATTTATTTACATATTTCTATTTTACTAAAACTGTCAATTAAGTGCTTTATATGTCACGAATAATTTTAGGAAATTTCCTCTTTATTATAATTATTCTTTTCATTTTGAACGCAATTTCTTGTTCATTCTAAACATCACTTTTAAGAATTGTAAGTTAATTCTTTATTAACAAAGGTATTCTAAGGTTTTTATAATATACATAAGGGTCAGTTAAAATAAAAAGCAGTCTTAACGTGTAAAATACAAAATTTTCACTATATAGCACTACAGTGCACTTTTATGTTCATATAGTCCACTTCTGTAAGTTTGTAAAAAGTTCCACTTATTTACAAAACTGTCGCTGCGTTCTTTGCAAAAGTGTGCATTTTACCAATGTTTAAATGCAGCAGCTCTTCATACAAATGCACTATAGACAGTTATAAGTGTATTTCGTACGTTAATTTTTTTGTTTGATCCTAAATCTAGCTTTAAGAAAGAAAAACAATAACAAGGACCAAAAAACCATAAAACAATGTATTTTGGCATTTTTGTTTTGACTAAAATGGTAATGGTACATCATTCCACCAGATGTCCAATCTGAATTCTACCACTAGCAGAGTTTCTCATTTCTAGTTACTTGAGACTAAATTTTTGATGTTTTTGAAATAGTGAGCCCCAATTGTCAGGAAAGAGATCCAATGTACGTAGTACTTCGTATTAGTTTTGCTTACTCCATAGTCCATACCATTATAACTGATTCTATCAGAATATGTATGTAAAAGTCAACAGAACTACATAACAATCTAGAGTTCTTTTTTTAGTCAATAAAAGTCAACTAAAAGCTTTCTAAGCTCTAACATGTTCATTTCTTTCCTCTTAAATCCACGATAAGTGTAGACTGTCTAGTGCTACATGGGTTTTGTACATTTTTGTTTACTTTCATATGTGGAGCACATTGATGAGGTGTTGCATAGTTATTCAATTTTATACCCTACGAATGTATACAAAGAATGTATAAAATTCTTGTGCGTTATCCTTACTCTTAAATATATGTTCCCAAATAAAACATACATTTAAACCCCTGAGAAAATACTGCTTATCCAGCACATGTGAAATCACGTCGTTTTGAATTTACAAAGCACATTTTCAAATCATTTAGCATACCGCCTCAGTGCCTCATTTAATTACTTTGAAATTTGGTTTAGATAGATATACACAACCATATGTGAAGTGATGAATGATCATAGTTTATCCATGCTTCATCATATAGGTGGCTGATTTTGGATTGGCTAAGCTGTCAAACGATACCAACACTCATGTCTCTACGCGCATCATGGGAACATTTGGGTGAATACACCACACACCATTTTATGATCTTTCAATTGATTTGGACATTTACTTTCTGGGCTAAAGTGTCATTCTTTTATTTCCTTAAAAAAAACTTTGGTTTCTTCATTACATATGACTTTCCATTATCATGAACTTCACTCAGGTACTTGGCACCAGAGTATGCGGCTAGTGGCAAACTCACAGAAAAATCAGATGTTTACTCTTATGGTGTTGTGCTCTTAGAACTCATAACTGGGCGACGCCCCATAGATGTGAATAATGACGATGATGACAACTTAGTTGATTGGGTATGTATGTTATTATGCAGATAGTGATATAGATTTATCCTAGAATCAATCAATGTTGAAATATTTTTACCATGCCAGTACACAACCATGATGTGGGCCTTTATGAATAGATAATGCCAACCATAATGAACCAATGGTTGAACAATAAATTAATGAAAAAATAAATAAATGATAGCAGATCCCTACAGAGTGCAACACACCTTTATTCCCTAATGTGGTTTTGGAGTTGTGATATGTCATCCTGCCCCGCAAAATATAAAGAAAAAAATAAATGAATGATGATTATCATGTTGACCTTTTAGTATGAATCCTCATGTTTCCTTTTATGACAAAAACTCAAATTTTAATAGTTTGCACTTTACACGCAGCACATGCATACTTAGTGTTGTTATTATTTGTATTAATCAAAATGCAGGCAAGGCCTATTCTGGCGAGTGCTGTAGACGGTGGAAGTTTTGAAGAGATTGTGGATCCGCGTTTGGAGAACAACTATAATTCGAATGAGATGCGACGCATGGTGGTTTGTGCAGCTGCTTGCATTAGGCATTCTGCGAGGAGACGTCCAAAAATGAGTCAGGTTTGTACTTGGATGTCTCATTAGAGCTGACAAGCCAATGATATAATATTAGCTACTATCATTTATATTAAACTCCCAATAGGCTTATCACAGGTTTTAAGCAGAAATTGCAAGTATAGTTAATATACTTGCAATTTAATGGGAAAGTATATGTCAAATTAAAAAAGTGGAGCAAATATAAAAAAAAGTTCCACAATGAAATACAAAACGTAGAAACACATGGAGTATATCATATAAAGGTCTAGTTTGGTCATAGTAATCGTATTAAGCAAATAAATGTATAGCCTTTGTGTCACTTATTATTCAGATGAAGTTGATTTCAACAAATGTTGTTCATTTCAGCCAAATAAAATTTTAGGATGACTTTATGGTTCGAGACTTCCTCCTATTTTCACTTAGGGCTGGATTCGGTTCGGGTACCAAACTGAAATCAGAATTTTAAAAGCGAACTGACATTTCGGTTCTCAAATTTCTAAAATCAAAACCGAACCAATACTTGAGCAGTACCAATATTTCAGAAAACCAAAAACTGAACTTTTATACTGTTTTTTTGGTTTGGTTCGATCTGAACTGATTTAATTTTCTAAGAACTGTTATTAAATCAACTATAATTCGGGTACTAACTTTTGGGTCCCAATCCAAGTCAGTTTGATTCAATTTTTTCGATCTGGTTTTTCCGGGTTTTTGGTTAAAAATGCCATCTTTTTTTCACTCATTGGTGTTGCATTGTTTGGCTTGCACAGATTGTGCGTGCGTTGGAAGGTGATGTCTCGTTGAATGATCTAAACGAGGGAATGAAATCTGTACCCAGCACACTCTTTGGATCTGGTGAGGGTTCAGATTATGATTCTCATTCTTACACCGACACAAGGGGGCAGAGATCAGGGGCATCAAGTCAAGAGTTCTCCAGCAGGGAGTTTGTCAATTCCACGGGTGATCAATCTGGGGAGTACCGGAAAAATGGTAGCTAAACGCACCATAGTCCATAGAATCAATTTTTTTACTTCCAAGATTTGATGGGAAATGATTATACTCCACAAATTGGAGTTTTTGGAGTTGTCATATATGATTTACGTGAATGATGACTAACGAGTTTAACTACTAATGTATTTTCAGTTTTTTCAATGTTAAGTGTATAGTGAAAGCAACCAAAAATAGCATTTTGTATTTATTTTGATCTGTTGCTGCAAACACAGTCAGTTTCACATTATAGCCGAATACAAGGGTTTGGAAATTGGAATGAAGCCATTGAAATTTCCTTTAATAACTTAACATTTTATAATTTATCTTGCTCTAGAAGAGTTGAGGAAACTCTACTATGCCATGGCCCAAAATACTATTGTGTGTAAGTGTGTGTAGGAAAAGTGTGTACCTCAAGCTGGATTGATGCCATGGCACAGATTCGGGCTTCCTTGTCAATATGATCATAGGCAAGAGTAGTCACACATCTATGGTCAAGCATCATCGTGAGCTTTAGACGTCAAACCTCTATGGTTAAACACTTCGATTGACGGTCGACGAGGTCGAGGTTAGAAGCTTCATGATCAAGATTAGCCGTTGGTCGGTGGCGTAAAGTCTCTAGGATTGAGAACTATCTTTCATCATTATAGTCTCAATTTGATTTTGTGGTCTTCTAGGTGGAAATTTGACCGTAATTATCTTTAAATATATACTTATATAATCTATAATAAATTGACATTTGAATAATGCATATTACAATGAAGCACATTACATATTTTTTTTGCAATAAAATATTGTTAGTTTTGAATAGTAAACGGTCAAAGCTTAATAAATTTGACTCAAAAGTCAAAGTTGCATTTTAATTAAGAGACAGAGCTAGTAGTTGTTATAAAATTGATAAATTTTATAAATTTTCATTCACCTGTACCATGTTTGGAATGAAGCCAAACACGGGGTTCCGGGTTACACGATTGCTAAACCTTGATAAATCATACATAAATTTAGCTCTGGTTGTGTAGCAAATTTTCAGTAATGAAATATTCTTAGGAAATTGATGCATATACTCGAATGAGGCAGGTTCATAGTCAGCGGCGGACGTGGGAATTTTTTATTGGCGGGGGGGCGGCAGTGTAAGAAAATACATATAAATACACATATATTAAAATTTCGGGGGTAAATATACCTAGGAAAAAATGGAGGGGTAGTGGCCCCCATTAGTCACTCCCTATGTCCACCATTGTTCATAGTATTGAAATGAGAAACAAGTCAAACAACTACAATTTTGAAATTAAAAGTACAACTCCAAGTTCTCGTATAAAAGATCTCAATGAAGATACTTCGTATAAAAATTAATAAAAGTACTACTCTAATAAAAATTAATAGTTCCAATAAATGATTTTTAAGAGTTTTTGATTATTTTGGGGTGTTCTCTATAAAAAAAAGTTGGCACTTGTATCTGTAAGGATACATGTGTCTGAGTTATTAAACATTATAAAAAAAAGTTGGGAACTTTTAATAAATTATAGGTACGATCCCGGAATGTATGATACATGTATTTTAGAGTATCTGAGACGAGTGCATTTTTCATTCGCCAATACGATACCCTACTCCCTATGTTGCACGGATACTGATACCCCTGATACGCCGATACGCGAATACGAGTACGACGATACGACAATTTAAAAAATTATAGGATACAGGTACATGACATATTTATAAATAATAAAAATATAGAGTATAATTTGCAAATATATATAATTCAGAAGTTCACAAATAAAACAATAATAGTACAAAAAATTAACTATTATTATAAAATTTCAAAGATTAGGCTAAAAACGAAAGTACATATATTTCGATCTAAATTCAAATAATATTTTTGTTCTCTATTTATATTTACATCTAAGTCTTGTTTCAATTAAAACCCATCAAACGATAAAATGATAAATTATAGTATTCCAATATTTTTCATACTCCCGAAATCATCTTTATCAATGTTCCACATTTTGTGGTCGCTTGTGCGGCTACTAAATTTTTGTCATGTCATATATGAAATAAGGGTTATAGGGTTAGATACGAGTATCAGAAGTATCAATATTTTTAAAAATAAACCCAATACTTTTATTAAATTAGTGATACAGATTTAATACGTACATGACGCATATCAATGACTATCGATATCGAATACGTATCGGATATGTGGATACGACATCGGGGTGAAGTATCGGTACACCACAATCATAACCTATGTGAATTTTTTTTATGGATGGGGGCAAATTAGTCATTTCATATGCATATTTGTGAATTGTGATGCCCTATATCTGACCTTATAAATACCTAAATCTCACCGGATGATACTCAGGAAAGCAGCATAGACGTAAGCACAATCCTGATGGATTGCTCTACATTATTTTTCAACTTCAAAAATGTGATAAAGCTCGATGATGCAGTGAAAACTACTGTTGTCTGGCTCCACGATTTCTTTGTATAATAATACTTGCAAGGTATGTTCTTCATTTTATTGATTTTTTTTTTTTGAAAAAAATTATGTGTGTGTTAAAGTAGAAGACTTCTCTTTCATTTGTATGAACTACAGAGTTTAGCTGAATATATCTTAATCTCTCTAATTCTCCTTAGTTTTTTAATTCTATAATACTTTTGTTCCATTTCATAATATGTATCAACATAATTGCTCCTAATTCTGAAAATCTTCGATCACCAACTCATTCAACTTTTAATTTGCAAGCATATTTCAAATCTTGTCTCCCACTTCAAAAAATTCGTAAATTTGTGTAGGAATTTGGTGCCTGGTTCTGAATGAGACAGAAATTGAATTTAGATTGTGAAAAACATTTCCCGATTATCATTGAATAAATTTGTTGAAGAATTCGAATTATTGCTTCGCTCCATGCGCTGCCAAGGCCAATAGGCCATGGTAGCTGTTAAGACCGTGCTGGGCTAAGCACTTGCAAGCTAAGTCAGCTTCATTGCATAGCATGAACTACTATTAGATATTTTTTGCTTGAAATTATTGGTATTTATGTAAAAAAAATAATTGGTCGAAATTTGATATTTTTATTTCTGAAGTGGGTTATCATTAATAATAATTAATTAATTATGTCTTAAATTGAAGTATCAACATTCAATCTGATGCTAGGTTAGGTATTTAACCCGAGTAAAATAATGTTTAGTCTTTTGTTATTGCATTGAATCAGACCATCTCCAACCGTTTACACCATTTTTTACATTAAAATGGAATAAATATCACACCATACAGTATTTATCTCCAACAGTTTACACTATTTTTATCACTAAAAAGGAATATGCTTTTTTATTCTTTTTATTAACTTTTCACCATTATTATCTTTAATTATTTCTCTAATTATCATATACTCATACATTAGTCCCTCATTTAATATGTCTTTTGTCATTTCACTCATTATTTCATAAATACAAGCTAAAATACTACTTAATCAATGTTAACCCATGTTTCACGCATTTCACTCATTTAAAAAATACAATAATTAATATTTCACACACACCTGCTAAAGCCTTATAAAATTAAATATTACATAATTTTATAATAATTCATACGTCATAAATAAAATACCACTTAAATTTAAAGCAGTAAATTAAATAATTATTCTTAGTTTAGTTGTCGCAATTTGAGAATTCTTCCCACAAATGATCAATTAAAGCATCGTGAAGCTCAATATGAGTGTTTTTGCATTTGATTTTTCGAAACGACTAACAGGGGTCAAAAAGCCAAATTGAAGAAGAAAATTGATAAAGACACCACTGTTTTGCTTAAGTCTGTTAATAGTGACAATGAGCAACTTATAGTGATGTTGAAGAAATCATTGTTAGATAGACATGAACAATTGGAAATCCAGCGACAAAATATGGCATATAAAAACATAGGAGAGAAGATAAAATTATGTTCATGGATTTGAAATCTATTGACGATCCATAAGCCGACAAGCGCGAGCGTGTCTCATTACAGAAAGATAAAAAATTATAAAAAAAAATCTCAAGAAGGAGGCTCATCTGCTGGATTTGGGAATCTATTTGATGGTCTTAGAGGGTCTGGAAGCGGGATGAGTGACTACTAATTTCTTAATTAGTACTCCCTCTGTCCCATTTTATAGGACTCTTTACTATTCACTTGGTCAATACAAATTATTATTAATCTCTTGCTTTATACATCAAATTTTTAAGAAATTTGAATTATTTTTTGTAGATTTTGTAGCGGTCTTAATTTAGTTTGTGAATATGTAATTCTTTTTTTCTAAAATTAATTTGAGTGCAGACAGGGATCTGTTTGCTTTATCATCAGTCAAACATCGTAAACCGAAAAGTAACTTATAATTCGGGACAGAGGGAGTATGTATTATGTATGATTTTAATAATGTTGTTTTTTTATTTTTAATTATGTTATTAATTGTAGTGTTAATTATGTTATTTTCTTAAGTATCATTTGTAGGGGTGGACACAGTCCGGGATGGTCTGGGATTCGGCTTATCCCGATCCCGTCCCGGTTTTATAACAATGGTCCGGTCCGGTACGAGATAAGTCTTTATCCCAATGTTGTCCCATTTAAAACGGGATCAGGAAAACCCGAGAAAAATCGGGACGGATCGGGATGTCCCATAAAATATACATTTGTGAAATGCGATATAAAAATAAGCATAACATCAAAATAAAAATGTAACTATTTTTGCAAATTTAGCTTCTCTAAAAAGATAAGTAAAACCTCTAATTAACTATTTTTATTTTTTTGTCTTGTAAATTTTTTTGGTCCCCCTAATCTTGTGTTTCCTCTAGTAGAATAGTAGCGCAAAATATTTTTATATATATTTTGTAGTATACTTGTAATTTTTCAATACCACATTAAATTAAATATCATATCTATAAAGACACTATACATATTTTCTAGTAGTTATTTTGGAAAAAATTAAATCTATAACAACACTATAATTTGGAGTAGTAAATATTCCATCATAATTCGTATTCCAAACGTAATATATATTACTACGTATGGATTAGTATTGGAATGAGAATTAAACAAATTTTAATCAAAAGAAACAAAAGAAATGAGACTAAGAGAGACATGAAATAAGATAAAATGACACTAGAGAGACTAAGGACTAGAAAGTTTTAATTGTGTTTGAGTATTACATAGCATTAGAAATTTAAAATAACATATTAATTTCAAACGGGACACCGGGACGGGACATGATATTTTATAGCTATCCTGGTCCCGTCCAGGTTAATATCGGTGCGGGACCGGTATGGGATGAAAAAATTGCATTCTAAATGGATCGGGATAGTTTCAGAACGGTATCGGGATTTTTCGGTTTGGGACACCGGGACCGGGATTTTTGCCCACCCTTAATTATTTGTATTCTGTTATTATGTTGTTTCGATTTGAAAATTTATTTATAATATTGTGTGATTTAAAATTTATAATTTAATTTTGTTGTTCTAAAACTGGGTCAAAACCATAACAACCAAAATTTTAAGTCACTTTTGAAAAAAGGTAAAATAATAACAAACGAAAGTTGACACATTACAAACACACTTCATGACTTTCTATAAATTTAACGAGCCTTGTGTGCGTGTGTAGTTACCCGATGAAACGTTCAGTGAACTTTCATTTCTGAATCTTCACCGGGTTGAAATTGGGAAGAGATTAAAATTTCCCTCTAAGTATCAATGTAGCCCTTTCACAAACCCCTTGAAAAAATGTCCTAAAGAATTGAACTTCACTCAGGCTACTCCATTGAAGGATTGGACGGATCAACTAGGTACACTTGTAGACCTTCATGTAGCCGGTTTACCGGATGTCGATCGGACATTTTTTTGTGACCTCCTTATGCCCGATAAATGGTTGGCCGGTTATGTATGTGTATATCGTTTATTGGTACAAAACTTATTTATAGTTACAAAACTTATAACTCGTTTCTTATTTTTTTTCCAATCACATTTTGTAGCATGTGGATGCTATCATATACTTGATCAATAAGGAGAGGAGATGGCTGAAAACTACATTAATGGAGCCTTATTTTATGGTATACATACGAGTGACCTTTTATGCATTTGTTCTTAATTCATAATTTTTTATTATCCCTTGCCATTGTTTGTAACAACTCTTGAACAAAAAATTTGACAACATCACGCAGTGGGAGGGAGATCGCCATCTCGTGAAAATGAATTGGTCTGCATAGAAACATTAATAAACATTGTGTTTAATGCCTTAGGTTTTGACACCCCTAAATGTGGGGAATTCGCATTGGGTGTTGGTTCAAATAGACCTTCGTGCAAAAATGTTAAGAGTATATGACTCCATGAGAAGTGGATGGACCGTGGCATCCATAAAGGACTTGTGGGATCGCCTCCCCCACCTCCTACGTATTATTACGTGGAGAACGGAAGATTACGTCACAGACGACCTTTGTTAGTAATATACGGTACGCGAATGATACAGTAATACGTACGTTCGTGTATAATACGGTGCACTTTTATAAAATACGGCTAAATATATGTTTTATACGTTCGGAACAAGAATACCGATACGTACGCGTCTAATACGGATACATATATCATTTAAAAATATGGCATATAGTCCAGGTCTATATTTACACTAGTTTCACTAAATTATTGATACAAAGAAATGTTTAGTTAACATCTCAACATTTTTAAATGATATAAGATGCAATTCTTAAAAATGTAATACTCCGTAATATTTATAAAAATATTAATAGACCTACTTTTAGATAAAATAAAATAATCATAAAAAAATTTAAATGCAACACTCTAATTGGTTTATAAATGTGTAAGAAGTTTATAAAATGTAAAAAAAAGTTTATAAAATGTATATTCATTACAAAAAAACTCGCTTGTAGTCACGGACTTTAGTCACGGATTTGGTCCGTGACTAGTTTTGTCACGGACTAGTCACGGATATTTAAAAAAAATAGTCACGGATCTGACCGTGATTATGATCGTGACTAAATTTAGTCACGGTTAGATCCGTGACTAAAATGGTCCGACAACTCCGATTCCGTTTCCGGCGGCGTTTGTTTTACACCGGCGACTTAGTCACGGACACATCCGTGACTAAATCCGTGTCTACTAAAAAAATTTAATTTTCCAGCGCTCAGAAATTAATTCCCAATGGTATTCTGTACGGATAAATTTAGTCACGGACATTTCCGTAACTAATTCTGTGACTAAATCGAATAAAATTATTCGCACGCGTAATTTACATGTCATTTACACGGTTTGGACGCGTAATGTACACGGATTTGCTTAGTGACGGACAAATCCGTGACTAAGTCCGTGACTAGTGTTTTTATACATGCAGGACCTGCTCATTTAGCAGAACCACACCAATTCATTCCCAGTATATACAGTATCTGTTTGAAAGATCCAAGGTCGAAACATGTAGTCTATCTTATGTCATTTTCCCCGTTTATGCAGATAGGGTATGTTATTTGAATTATTATTTTTTATTTGGAACTAGTTAGTTCAATTTAAATTATTAAAACTATTAAATTAGTGAGGTTGTTAATTAATTAACAGGATATTTAACTAAAAACGTGGTGATGTAATTACATTAGTAAAATTTTTAGGTTTACAAAATAATTTAATTAAAATTAGTTAGCTAAACGTAGGTTTAAATGTAGTGATGTGTTAATTAAGTAAAATTAATTAGTTAAACGTAGGTATTAACTAATTAAGTGAGATTCGTTAAACTTTTGATAATATTAGTTGAATTTAAATATTAGTTAATTGAAATGTGTTTAAAAAAAGGTTGTTAATTAATTAACGAAATGACTTAGTTAAATTTAGTTAAACGTAGGTTTAATTTAAATGTAGTGTTAAATTACTTAATTTTTTTATAATATTAGATAAATTTAAGTATTAGGTAATTACTTATATTTTGTGCATTATTATTGTGAATTGTGTGCATTTCATTTAATTTAGTGAAAATTAGTTAGTTCATTATTACGTGAAATAAATTACTTAAAATTAGTTAACTCTTGGTATTATTGTTACATTAATTACCTTAGTTTTGAACCTGTATATTTTTTTATTATAATATTCAGGCATAATGTATAAACAAAATAGAAATTGGATGTATGATAAAGATGCAGTATTGTACGGAATGCAATCAAATTTTCTCAATGGAGTCGGGGAATTTATTGAATTCGCACTTGAACATCCGACTTATATGAGTGGTGATAAAATAAGATGTCCATGTTCAAAGTGTAAAAATCTCAAATTTAAAGACCCACACGAAGTTGGCTATGATTTGTACGCGGTCGGTTTTGTTCCCAATTATTATAATTGGACTTCTCACGGCGAACCTTTGGATCCATCTGTTATACCACAAACGGTAGGTTCGTCTCGTTACGTCCCTCCAGAGATGAGTGGGTGGGGAGACCGTGCTGAAATGAGGTGGGAACCAGAAATGGTATATGACGCATACGGTGTATCGATGTCTCAGTTCAACCCCCCACAACCATCTAACGACCCCCCTGAAGCCTCGACCTCGTATCAACCAGATGCGGATGAAAATCCGTCATTTTATCAATCTTGTGTGGATGAAGGTTTGGCTGAGAGATTTCAGGATGTTCTAAAAGCTGCCGACCAACCTCTGTATGCTGATTGTGAGGGATACAATCAGCTATCCGCCGTTACAGAGTTTATGAACATAAAAGCCGAATACAGTCTCCCTGAAACTTGAATGAATAGAGTCTTGCAGTCAGTAGGAGGGATGCTACCGCGTGATCATACCCTTCCCGATTCATATTACCACATGAAGCAGTTAATGTCTAAGTTGGGGCTACCTTGTGTCAAAATTGATGCATGCCCGGAAGGATATATGTTGTTCTGGAAGGAGGATGGGACACTTGAGTTCTGCAAGTTCTGTGATGGAGACAGATACAAACATGTTCCTCAAAGTAAAAAGAAACCACGACATAGGTCGGCACTGTCTAAACTGTATTACCTCCTAATAGCTCCTCGACTGCAGAGGATGTACGCTTCGACTGCTAGTGCGAAACACATGACTAGGGGTGCAAATGAGCCGAGCCGCTCGTGAGCCGCTCGCGAGCCGCTCGGTCAAAGCTCGAATCGGGATCGGTCAAATTCGAGCTCGAGCCGAGCTCGAGCCGGCTCGTTAAGCAGTCGAGCCCGAGCTCGAGCCTTCTAATTTCAGGCTCGCTAGCTCGCGAGCCTAATTTTATATGTGAATATTTATAATATATATATATATATATATATATATATATTATATAATCATATATAATATATTACTATGCAATATAAATTAATATATAATGTATACTGTTATAATGTACGGAGTAATATATATGATATACTCCCTCCGTCCCCTTTTAAATGTCTCGAAAGAGTATGACACGAGTTTTAAGAAAAGTGGGTTTGTGTGATTGATATTAATTGATAAAGTAAGAATAAAGTAAAAATAATTTTGAACCACACAAACTTTACCAAATAAGGTATGAGACAATTAAATAGGGACATCCCAATATGGTAAAACGGGACATTTAAAAGGGGACGGAGGGAGTATATAATATATACTGATTAGTAAAATTTTATAATATTTTAGGCTTAGGTCGTTACTACTCAGTAGAAAAACTTAGAATGGGCCGATGACAGTGAATTTTTACTACGGACTCATTATGGAGCATCATAATGGTTATCGAGCCTCGAGCTGAGCCGAGTCGAACCGAGCCTTCTGCGAGTCGAGTTCGAGCCGCGATTTTTGATAAGCGTTTTATTAACGTATTTTATATATTCATCTTAAAACGCTTTTATGTTTAAAAAGAATAAAATCTTCACACATATGCCTCGTTTTGCTAGAAGTTCTTTAAATCAACAAATGGATCAAATGCAAGGATGGTAGAATACGCACGAAGAAACCGACGGAAAAAGGTCAACCAAACGCATCCCGAGGAACAAATAAAGACCACAAAAAAACCCAAGACAGACGAAAGCCGCCCGGTTTATGCCAAAGGCGGCCGGCCTTTGGTCCCCAAGCTTATTTTCGCATCCACAGCTGAAAAATCTGATCCGGAGCAAGAAAGGACGAAAGCCGCCCGGCTTTCGTGAACACCGGCCGACTTTTGGTCGCCGAAGGAATTGTTCAGAATTTAATTACAAAAGCCGCCCGGCTTTTGTAAATGGCGGCCGGTTTTCGACCCCTGGAGCGGAGGAGCAGCATTTTAAACGCGCAAAAGCCGCCCGGCTTTTGCGAAAGTCGCCCGCCTTTCGTCTGGAATTGATTAAAACAAGCAACGGTCATCACAATCATTCGAGAGAAGCTCCAAATCCAATTAAGGAGCTTGCTTCATTGTCTAAAAATGGCCGTTGAAGACCAAATATTTAAGTACATGGAAGCCCTCTCAAGTGATTATTCCATATTCCATACACTTTACTTCCATTTTAGCACTCCAAGATCAACCCCTTGGTCTTGGGAGAAGTTCTACACTTGGGGATCCCATTATCCACCATAGCTTTGGAGTTGTGGTATTATCTTCTTATGTATTTCATTGTATTTCATCAATTCAATACTTGTAATTTCATTATGAGTTGCTCTAGCTAATTTTCCATAGCCAAGGTTAGGGATGAAACTTTACGCACTCTAGGTGTTTGATGTATGTTCTCAACCAAATTATTATGATCTTTCCTTTATATTTTAATGTGTATGACTACGGTGTACAACGTATGATTATATCGTTGGATTTATTTGAGCAATTAACGTTGAGTTATAAACCGTGCACTTAAAGGCTAGACATATTCTAATTGTGGATAGAAATATACCTCAATTGAATATGGTGGTTGTAATAATGTCCTAATCTTCAATGGGGTTAATTTTAGATGAATGTGAACCGTGACGGGATTCACACGTAGAATTAATCACAATCTCGCTGCCGTAACAGGAGTTAGAATACTTTAGCGACATTCCACTCATAAGAATTGGTGAAAGAATATACATTAATCGCTAAGAGTCGTTTAGGAGTAATCCCGAACCCTTGGTTGCTTTTATTATCACTTGAAAAACCAAAAATCTTTACTCTTTTACCAAGTCTTTTACAAATTATTTTCTCAATTTTTGAATCATATAAACAACGTTTCCTCGTGTTCGACTCGGTATTTTTACCGGATTTTATTACTACATCGGCACTTGTACACTTGCAAGTTTAAGCCGATCAAGTTTTTGGCGCCGTTGCCGGGGAAGCGGTTTTGTTTTATACGGTTCAACAAAATTCCTGAATTTTCCCTTTACATTTCACTTGGTTTTGTTTTGAATTTTGTTGTGTAGACAAGCTCTTAGTGCATGCTATTGAGAAGTCAAGGCTCTACAAACCTTGAACCTATCAATCTTGAGATTGAGAGAGCTTGTAGAAGGAATCGGAAGAAGGAAGCAAGAGTACCAACAATGCTTCCCACACTCAATGAACGGAAGAGGCCCGTTATTGCCACCACTCCTTCTTGCATCGTTCTTAGCGAGGCGGCACGGGACTATGAATTGCGGAATAGCTACTTCAATGCTATGCCGCACTTCTATGGACAACCGGGAGAGAATCCATTAAATTTCATTACCGAATTTTATGGGTTCATTCAAGGTGTGCCTAGGAATGGGCTAAGTGAAGGAGACCTTAGGCTCAAATGCTTTCCTTACACCTTGAAGGGAGCGGCAAGAGGGTGGTTTCTAGAGCAAACACCGGCATCCTATGCTACTTGGGATGAAATATACAATGTTTTCATCTCCAAGTACTACACTCCCACAATGACGCAAGAGCTACGACAACGAATCTTCAACTTCAAACAACAAGTTGGAGAACTTTTTCAAGACGCATGGAGGCGTTTCAAGTCTTTGTTGAAGGAATGCCCTCATCACCGCATCCCTCTTGACCTTCAAATAGACACTTTTTACAATGGCTTGAACCCATCTTGTCAAGCTATTGTAGACAATCGAGCGGAGGGGTACATCGGAAACAAAACGGAGACGGAAGCTTTGAGGATTCTTGAGTCCATTGCTTCAAATCCTCAACTACAAGGAGGAGACATCAAGGTGGCGGGAGTGAATGAAATCTCTATCACTCATGAACTTGACAAGAGGTTTAAAGAGTTTCAAACCAAAATGCAACAAAATCTACAAGCATCAATTCACACAGCTTTACAAGCCGTTATTGGAGGGGCTCAACAAGTGGCAAATGTGGAGAGTGTCTCCAATGTGGAAGGTAACTCATCTCAACATCTTGAGGATGTTAGTTACATGAACTCTTATGGGCAACGAGGAAACCAAGGAGGAAATAACTTCTCCAACAATCAACAAAGGTATAATCAAGAAAACAATTATAGACCGCAAGGTAATCCTTCAAGCCATCAACCCGGAGTTCCTACATTTGGCCAATCCAAAGAACCTACCATGGAGGAGATGATGAAGCTTCTCACAAAAAATGTTGCTAGCATCAAAACTCAAAATGAAGAAAATCATAGTAGAATGGAGGCATCCATTGGGAATCTCCACAATCAATTCACTAAACTTGACATGCGTTTTGAAGATCAAAACCGGAAGCTAAATCAACGCATGGACAATATTGAACAATATACCAAGTCCTCTATTCATAACTTGGAGGTTCAAATTGGCCAACTTGCTCAAGAAAGGACAACTAGGGAGCATGGTAGATTTCCTACTACAACGGAAGTCAACCCGAGGGAGAATGTTATGGCTATCACTTTGAGAAGTGGTAAACAAATGGAAGGGCCAACAATTGAAGAAGAGCCCATTGAAAAACAAAGCGAAGAAGAGCATATTTCACCACCATCCATGACGGCTTATGTTCCACCAATTCCTTACCCACAAAGGATGAAGAAGAAAGATGATGGAAAGCAATACAAAAAGTTCCTAGACATCTTCACCAAATTGAGCATCAACATCCCCTTTGCCGAGGCCATTGCCGAAATTCCTTCTTATGCAAAATTTTTGAAGAATATTCTTAGCAACAAAAAGAAGTTGGCGGATTTTGCTACCGTAGCACTCACGGAGGAATGTAGTGCTATTCTTCAAAACAAATTACCTCAAAAATTGAAGGATCCCGGGAGCTTTACCGTTCCTTGTTCTATTGGAAGCTTAGGGGAGGTAAAATCCCTTTGTGATCTTGGAGCTAGCATTAACCTTATGCCACATTCTCTATTCAAGAAACTTGGTGTGGGGGAACTTCAACCTACAACTATAGCTCTCCAATTGGCGGATAGAACCATCCGTTATCCTATTGGGGTAATGGAAGATGTTCTTGTGAAGGTTGGAAAATTTTATTTTCCGGTGGATTTTCTCATTCTAGAGATGGAGGAAATGGAAATTCCGGTGATTCTTGGAAGATCTTTCTTGGCCACGGCGGCCGCTCTTGTTGATGTGAAGAATGGAATTGTGAAATTCCGTGTTGGGGAGGAGGAGCAAGAATTCCATGTTTGGGATTCCTTGAAGAAACACCATGATGATTCTACATGTTTTAGTATCAATATTTTTGATACTTTGACACAAGAAGTTTTTGAGAGGGAAATACATGAAGATCCTCTTGAGGCATGCATGATGCTAGGATGCACCGAAGATGAAGAAATTCCTGCACTTTTTGAAGAAGTGATGTACCTTCAAGCCGGAGGCTCTTACACCAAATTCCGTCCTAAGTTTGAAGAACTTGGTGCAAGGAAGTCTAGCCAAAAATCTTCATGTGAAGTTGCTTCAAGGCCTACTCTAAAACCTCTTCCGGGTCATCTCAAGTATGCATTTCTTGGAGATGATTCTACATATCCGGTGGTAATTTCTTCTACACTCACCTCTTTGCAAGAAGAAAAATTATTGAGAATTCTAAGGGCTCACAAGTCCTCTATTGCTTGGTCCTTGGCGGATATTAAGGGTATTAGCCCTTCTCTTTGCATGCACCGGATTCTCATGGAGGAGAATCACAAACCTACAATTGAACATCAAAGGAGATTGAATCCCAACATGAAGGAGGTAGTCAAGGAGGAAGTTCTCAAACTCCTTGATTATGGCATTATTTATCCCATTTCGGATAGCAATTTCGTTAGCCCCGTTCAAGTGGTGCCCAAGAAAGGAGGAATTACCGTTGTGGCTAATAGTAAGAATGAATTAATTCCTACTAGGATGGTCACCGGTTGGAGGATGTGTATTGATTACCGGAAATTGAACACCGGCACTAGGAAGGATCATTTTCCTCTCCCATTCATGGACGAAATGCTTGAACGTGTTGCGGGTCATGAATTTTATTGTTTCTTGGATGGATTTTCCGGCTATTTTCAAATAGCTATCTCACCCGAAGATCAAGAGAAGACCACATTCACTTGTCCTTTCGGCACTTTCGCTTATAGAAGAATGCCGTTTGGTCTTTGCAATGCCCCGGGGACCTTTCAAAGATGTGTCATGGCCATTTTTTCCGACATGGTAGGAGGTTTTATGGAAGTCTTCATGGACGACTTTTCTGTTTTTGGAGACTCTTTTGATGCTTGTCTTCTTCATCTTGAGAAGGTTTTGATAAGATGCAAGGAAACACACTTGGCTCTCAATTGGGAGAAGTGTCATTTTATGGTGACCGAAGGCATAGTCTTGGGACACAAAATTTCCTCCCAAGGCATTCAAGTTGATCAAGCCAAAGTGGAAGTTATTGAGAAGTTACCTCCACCTCATTCGGTGAAAGCCATCCGGAGCTTCTTGGGACATGCCGGTTTCTACCGGCGATTTATCAATGATTTTACAAAAATTGCAAAGCCACTTTGTGATTTACTTGCCAAAGATGCTCACTTTGATTTCACTCCACAATGTCTCCAAGCTTTCAACACTCTCAAGAAGGCTCTCACTACGGCCCCAATCATTATCTCACCGGATTGGTCACTACCTTTTGAACTCATGTGTGATGCTAGTGATCATGCAATTGGTGTTGTTCTTGGGCAAAGGAAGGAGAAGAAGCTCCATGCCATCTATTACGCTTCTAGACTACTCCATGATGCGGAGTTAAATTATGCCACTACCGAAAAGGAGTTCTTAGCCGTTATTTATGCTTTTGATAAATTTCGGTCATACCTCATTGGACAAAAGGTGATTGTCTATACCGATCATTCCGCTATCCGGTATCTCATGAGCAAGAAGGATGCAAAACCAAGATTAATTCGTTGGGTATTATTACTACAAGAATTTGATCTTGAAATTCGGGATAAAAAGGGGAGCGAAAATCTTGTTGCAGATCACCTTTCCCGTCTCGAAGCTAACACCACATCCCACAAGGAAGTTATTCATGATGATTTTCCTTATGAACAAATCATGGTGGTTAGTGGAGTACCATTACCTTGGTTCTCGGATTTTGTGAACTATCTTGCCAAGGAAATTCTTCCTCAAGAATTCACATTTCATCAAAGAAAGAAATTCTTGAATGATGTCAAACATTATTATTGGGATGAACCTTACCTCTTCAAGCATTGTGCGGATGGTATCATACGAAGGTGTGTGCCCAATGAGGAAATGCTACCCATCCTTGAGCATTGTCATAATCTCCCTTGTGGAGGTCATCATGGTCCCGATCGGACCGCCGCCAAGGTACTTCAATGTGGATTTTTCTGGCCTACTTTATTCAAGGATGCTAGGAGCTATGTTCAAGCTTGTGATCGTTGTCAACGAACCGGTAATTTGAGCCGGAGGAATGAAATGCCACAAAATATGATGCTTGTGGTCGAAATCTTTGATGTTTGGGGGATTGATTTTATGGGACCTTTTCCCAAATCCCATGGCAAGGAGTATATACTTGTAGCGGTTGACTACGTCTCCAAGTGGGTGGAAGCAATAGCCTTGCCGGATAATACCGCCAAGTCGGTGGTAGATTTTGTGAAGAAGAATATATTTTCAAGGTTTGGTGTCCCGAGAACCATTATTAGTGATAACGGTACGCATTTCAAGAATGCTCACTTCACCGGTCTTCTAAAGAAGTATGTGTGCCTTTTCAAAAGTGGAGCTACTTACCATCCTCAAACAAATGGTCAAGTAGAGGTCTCTAACAGGGAAATCAAATCTATCCTTGAGAAGACGGTCAACTCTTCTCGGAAGGATTGGTCTTTGAAGCTTGATGACGCCTTATGGGCATATCGAACGGCATTCAAAACGCCTCTTGGTATGTCTCCTTATAGGCTTGTTTTTGGGAAGCCTTGTCACCTTCCGGTGGAGCTAGAGTACAAATCTCGTAGGGCAATTTCTCAACTCAACTATGATCCAACACTTGCAAAGGAAAGAAGGCTATTACATCTTGACGAGCTAGATGAACTACGGAGGGAGGCTTATGAGAATTCCCGCATTTACAAGGAGAAAGCCAAGGCGTAGCATGACAAGAACATTTGTCGAAGGGAATTCCAAGTTGGGCAGAAGGTGCTCCTTTTCAACTCAAGACTCCGGTTGTTTCCCGGAAAATTGAAGTCCCGGTGGTCGGGACCTTTCACCATCACCGAAGTCCGACCATATGGAACTATGATGATCAAACAAGGTGACAATGAACCTTTTGTTGTCAATGGTCACTGCTTGAAGCACTACATGGAACACCACAACACCTCTGCCACCATCTCTTGCCCCTTGAAGGATTGATCACGAAGACGTCCGGCCAATGACGTTAAAGAAGGCGCTTGTTGGGAGCCAACCCAATTTCATATCCTTTTTATTTACATGTTTGTCTTTCATTATGCTTTTATACTCTTATTGCTTGTGGACGATGCAATTCAAGTGTAGGGGGAGAAGCAAAGCAAAGAAATGTGAAGTTTCAAGGCAAATTTTGAACAAAGTGGGCGGAATTAGCAAAGGCATCGAAACCCGCCCGGCTTTCGCGAAAGCCGCCCGGCATTCGGTCGCCGTAGGTTAATTCCATTTATTCAGATCGAAAACTGCCCGGTTTTCCCGAAACCCGCCCGACTTTCAGGTCTGCTTCCCAGGTATTTTTCTCGCACACGAAACCCGCCCGGTTTTCGGGATTGTCGCCCGGCTTTTGGGCGCCGAAGGTAATTCCAGATTATTTAAATCGAAAGTCGCCCGACGTTCGTGTAAGCCGCCCGGCTTACGGGTTCTGGGAACAATCTGTTTAACCGAAAGCCGCCCGGCTTTAGCATATGTCGCCCGGCTTTCGGGGACGAGTGTTTTATTACCTGTTCTGTTTAAACACAAACACACGCACACAACGCCCAAAAGACGCCCGGCGAACGAGAGAGCTCGAACGACAACCCCCATTCTTCACGTTTCTTCTCCTCTTTCAAGCTCAAAACAGGTATTTCTCCATCTCCTTCGCTTCTTAAACTCAATTTCATAGCTTTTTTTCTTCATTTAATCGATAGAATTGGTTGTTCTTCCCAAATTTCGAATTTTAGGGTTTATGCAAATTGATAGCTTTTAGGCCTAATTCATTGCATGATATCTTGTTATTGTTGCCTATATTGCTTGTATGAACCATTTCAACCTCTTTTCAAGTAGTTATTTTCAACAATTTGAATTTTTTGCTATTTGGTCAAAATTGGGGGCTTAGGGTTCGAAATTCTTGTTCAAATTTGGAGATTTTCAATTGAATTCTTGTGATTAATTGTTGTTGAGTAAAGTTGTGATTATGTTGTCATGTTAAATTGTGATTAAAGTCAATTTTTAGGGGAAACTTTGTCAAATTTTTAAGAAAATTGACTAGAATTGTTTGAGTTTGTAGGTTCAAATGGCTCCAAAGGGGAAGTCCGTTAGCACCGAGGCTGGCCCGAGCAATCCCAAGCGGGCAAGGAACAACAAGGCACCCGCGGCCTCCTCCACCATCTTGCCTTCTAGCCGGTTTGTCAACACCAAGTGCTATGAACGGTACTTGGAATCTAGGGACAACGATTTCGTTGTTGAGAAGACGGTGTCACAACCTATTGACCACGAGTACTGGCTCACCGAGGCCTTCGCTAATATCGATTGGGAGCCGGTGCTACATCTTGACGGCACCTTCTACCCGGAGCTCGTCAAGGAATTTTTCGCAAATATTGAGGGAAATGGCCCCCAAAAGATGATTGAGAGCCGGGTCAAAGGGGTAAAAATCACTATCACAAATGACCTATTGAGATCTCAGTTTCACATCACCAACCACGGCATTCCTTTCGCCCCTTCCCAAGCCGGAGCAATGAATAGCGACGTTAGCTACAACCCCTTGGATGCGATGCAATATTTCGGCTTGCAAGGACACGAGCTTATGACCAAGAACCTTGGTCAACCACACATCCGGGCCCGGCTTTTGATGTACCTCTACTCATTCAACGTCATGCCGAGAGCAAGTGGTTACAACAAAATTCGAAACGCCGACCTCTACTTCGCGTATAGGATGCTTGCCGGGCTTGGACGTTGTGAGGGGATTCCTCTATCAAGCATCATCATCAAACAATTGTGGAGCGCGGCTTTGAGCAACAACCAAGATAAGGCCTTCATTTTCCCTATTTTACTATCTAACATTTTTGAGCATTTTGGTGTTAGCTTTAGAGGGGAAGAAGAACGCGACACACACGCCGTGCTTGATGATAGTGTCATGATACACCTTCGCTATTTCCAACCGCCGCACGGAGGACCATGGAGGTGCGTGGAGAGATTCCATAGAGTCGTGCCCGAAGAAAATGAGGATGAGATGATGGAAGGTGGAGAGCCCGAAGGAGGTCATGCGGAGCATCACGAAGAGGCACCTCACGTACCTCAAGCCGGAACTCATTACGACATGGACTATTTGACCGAACAATTTGGTCAAATTCATACGGAGCTTGCGGTTCATCGACGGGATTTGCGGGACCAAAGGCGGGCTATTGAAGGCATGGGGAGTCATCTTTGGAACATGAACTACTATTGCCAAGAGTTAGGGCGGCATTTCAGCATTCCACCACCGCCACCTTATGACCCGCACTTTTATTTCCCTCCCCAAGGAGATGGAAATGAAGGAGATGAGTAGGTTATGACAAGGGAAGTGTACTAAAAATACTAAACTTGAACCACCTTTTCTTTGTCTCTCTTTAAACTCCTTGTGCTACTTTTGTGCCTATTATGTGTTGTTTGATTGCTTATTTTCTTGCTTTGCAGTTAATTACTCTTGTGCTTCACATTGGGACAATGTGGAATAAGTGTGGGGGGGTGACTTTATACTTGAAAAAAATGTGCAAGGTTTTTATTTGAAAAAAATTGTTCATTTTTGGTCCATATTTTTTTGAAAAATATTTTAGCAAAACCCTTGTCCTTCAAACCCTTTTTCAAAAGAAACTTTTCTTAAAGTTTTGCCTTAATATTTTCATAAAAAGTTTTGAAATTTGCTTGAGGACAAGCAAAGCTCAAGTGTGGGGGTATTTGATAAGCGTTTTATTAACGTATTTTATATATTCATCTTAAAACGCTTTTATGTTTAAAAAGAATAAAATCTTCACACATATGCCTCGTTTTGCTAGAAGTTCTTTAAATCAACAAATGGATCAAATGCAAGGATGGTAGAATACGCACGAAGAAACCGACGGAAAAAGGTCAACCAAACGCATCCCGAGGAACAAATAAAGACCACAAAAAAACCCAAGACAGACGAAAGCCGCCCGGTTTATGCCAAAGGCGGCCGGCCTTTGGTCCCCAAGCTTATTTTCGCATCCACAGCTGAAAAATCTGATCCGGAGCAAGAAAGGACGAAAGCCGCCCGGCTTTCGTGAACACTGGCCGACTTTTGGTCGCCGAAGGAATTGTTCAGAATTTAATTACAAAAGCCGCCCGGCTTTTGTAAATGGCGGCCGGTTTTCGACCCCTGGAGCGGAGGAGCAGCATTTTAAACGCGCAAAAGCCGCCCGGCTTTTGCGAAAGTCGCCCGCCTTTCGTCTGGAATTGATTAAAACAAGCAACGGTCATCACAATCATTCGAGAGAAGCTCCAAATCCAATTAAGGAGCTTGCTTCCTTGTCTAAAAATGACCGTTGAAGACCAAATATTTAAGCACATGGAAGCCCTCTCAAGTGATTATTCCATATTCCATACACTTTACTTCCATTTTAGCACTCCAAGATCAACCCCTTGGTCTTGGGAGAAGTTCTACACTTGGGGATCCCATTATCCACCATAGCTTTGGAGTTGTGGTATTATCTTCTTATGTATTTCATCAATTCAATACTTGTAATTTCATTATGAGTTGCTCTAGCTAATTTTCCATAGCCAAGGTTAGGGATGAAACTTTACGCACTCTAGGTGTTTGATGTATGTTCTCAACCAAATTATTATGATCTTTCCTTTATATTTTAATGTGTATGACTACGGTGTACAACGTATGATTATATCGTTGGGTTTATTTGAGCAATTAACGTTGAGTTATAAACCGTGCACTTAAAGGCTAGACATATTCTAATTGTGGATAGAAATATACCTCAATTGAATATGGTGGTTGTAATAATGTCCTAATCTTCAATGGGGTTAATTTTAGATGAATGTGAACCGTGACGGGATTCACACGTAGAATTAATCACAATCTCGCTGCCGTAACAGGAGTTAGAATACTTTAGCGACATTCCACTCATAAGAATTGGTGAAAGAATATACATTAATCGCTAGGAGTTGTTTAGGAGTAATCCCGAACCCTTGGTTGCTTTTATTATCACTTGAAAAACCAAAAATCTTTACTCTTTTACCAAGTCTTTTACAAATTATTTTCTCAATTTTTGAATCATATAAACAACGTTTCCTCGTGTTCGACTCGGTATTTTTACCGGATTTTATTACTACATCGACACTTGTACACTTGCAAGTTTAAGCCGATCAATTTTGTAGGCTCATTCGAGCCGAGCCCGAGCTCGAGCCGATGCTATATATTTCGAGCTCGAGCTCGAGCCTGTAGAAAATCGGGCTCGGCTCGGCTTGTTTGCACCCCTACACATGACATGTGGCATGTTGAGCACGAAACCAATGAGGGTATGATGGCTCACCCTTCGGACTGTGAGGCCTGGAGACACTTTGACCGTTGTCATCCTCAGTTTGCTATGGAGCCACGAAATGTGCGGCTGGAATTGTGCTCAGACGGATTTGCTCCTTTTGGCAGGTTTGGGAAGAACTATTCATGTTGCCCGGTCATGTTAACTCCCGACATGTGCATGAAAAGTCATTTCATCTTTTTGTCTTTAATTTGTCCGGGTTCCAAGGATCCTGGAAGAAAGATAGACATTTATCTTCAACCCCTTATCGAGAGACGGACTTATGATGTTTCATCAAATCAGGTGTTTATCATGAAAGCTACCATCATTTGGACCATTAGCGACTTCCCTGTCTATGTCATGCTTTCTGGATGGAGCACACACGGTCTGATGGGATGTCCGATATGCATGGAGAAATCAGGTGCGAACTGGCTCAGTTACAGTAAAAAAAGGAAGTTACTTTGATTGTCACCACAAGTTTCTCCCGGAAAAGCACCGATATCGAAAGGACAAGAAGTCTTCCATTAGAGGCAGAGCGGTACGAGAGAGCGCACCCCCGAGATTGACCGGCGAAGAAATTTATAACCGGGTTCGACGTCTTCCTACGGCTATGGAAGAGCCAAACCAGGAACCACATGGGTTTTGTCATACCCATAAGTGGACAAAGAGGAGCATATTCTGGGAGTTGCCATATTGGAAAGACCTTCTCATCCGTCACAATTTAGATGTCATGCACACTGAGAATAACGTGTTTGACAATATATTTAACACGGTGATGGATTTCAAAGGCAAAACTAAAGACGGTCTTGCAGCTAGGAAAGATATGACTATTTGGTGTGATAGACCCGAACTTTCTGTTGATCTAGAATATCAGGGCAAGGAAGTTCCAAAAGTAGTCTACCAGTCGACAGAAGCACAAAAGGAAGCAAGGTTATGTTTTCTTTTCATTCGTATTTCTTTAATATTTGATTTAAATTCCAAAAATGCATTATGATATACTAAAATCGTTTGTTTCTTGAATATTGCATGCTCTTTTTTCTATGCTACTTTAATTTTAATATACCCGAAAAAAATGTATATTTTTAAAAATAGTTTTTTTTTTTGTTTTTAATTTGATGATTTATATGCATGCTTATAATATTCATGGATAGAATTTATTTGTTTTTTTGTTTGTATGTCAATTATCCATGTTTAAACTATGCTCAATATATTTTCGGATTTATGCATGTTTATACAATTAGTTTGATGTTTTATATGCATGCTTATAAATTTTTATAAGCATTTTTATATGCATGAATTTTTATTTTGTTCAAAAAAATATCGCTTATATTTTAGTTTGATGTCTAATATGCATGATAAATCTTTAGATATGCATGGAATTTCTAATGTTTGTAGGGTTTTTTGTAAATTATTTTCGGACTAATAATGAAGCATGCTCAATAAGATTTTTGGACATTATTAGGATTATTATTATTTTATCGGCTATCAATATTATTATTCCCGAATTATTTTAAAGAAATAGCCCCTCGTGTTAAACTTCCAAAAATAGTTTAACATGTTTAATTATAATTTCCGAAATATATAATAAGAAAGTCGTAAACATTCAAAATATATATAAAAAACTGATTCCCGAAAAAATATATATTAACTGTTTTAAAAGAAGTGTTTTGAAAAAATTGTTTTTATATAAACTGTTTTATGTAAACTGTTTTATATAAAAACTTTTTTTATAAAAACTATTTTATATAAACTGTTTTAATAATTTATCTAAAAAAAATTGTTTTCTAAAAATTTGATAAAAAATTAAGTTTCCAAATTACTGTTTTTATAGAAAGTATATAAACTTATTTTTATAATAGTTTTTGTAAAAACAGATTTTTGTAAAAAGCAGTTTTTTGTAAAAACTGATTAGTAAACAGATTTGTTAAAAACAGTTTTTATTATATAAAAACTGATTTCTAAAAAAAAGTATACTGTTTTTATAAACAAGTATACTGTTTTTCTCGAAAACAGTTTTTATAAAAACTGCTTTTTATTAAAAAAGTTTACTGTTTTATAAAAAAGTATACTGTTTTTCTAGAAAAAAGTTTTTATAAAAAAAGTATATTATTTTTATAATCTATTACTGTATTAATAAACTGTTTTAAATAAGTAAACAAGGTTTTTTATAAAATATATTTTGTAAAAAACTGTCTTTACAAACTGCTTTTTACTGTTTTTATATAAAAACCTTTTTATATAAGTTGTTTTTGAAAAAAAAGTATATTGTTTTTATAATTTTTTAAAAATGTTTATAAAAAGTGGATAAAACTCATATATCTAAAACATAAAAAAAAATGATGTCCTCTCATGTAAACTTTGCAAAAAGTTTAACATGTTACCTCTAAGAGCAATTTATTTCCAAGTTATAAATGAACTTATGGTGAAAAAATATGGACCCCTCATATTAAACTTATACACAGTTTAATATGTTATACACATTTTCAATTGATAATACTTATATAAAAATTTGATCTTCTATTATAATCATACTTACATCAAACAAAATAAATTAATATATCTTAGATGACTGACGAACAATCAACATCGCGTGCCCGCCCTAACTATGCGCCCATGACCGAAGCCGAGCGCAACAATGAAAGTGCGGTTTGGGTGACACCTCACCAAGTTGCTCAGTAAGTAGTTATGAACAAACCTTATGTCAAATAATTTTATATAATGTCAAATTATATAACCAAATCTTATATAAATAAATACTATTAATTTTTTGAAGTGACAAAGAAGTGTTCGAAGGCATCAAAAACATAATAGGAGGACACTTTCTTGGCAATTGGGCCACATACACGGATGTTGACCCCAAGGTCCGCGAATTATGATGGAACCTATTCAAGTTAAAAATAAATGAATGTTTCATGCGTAATTGTAGTAGCCTAATATATAACAAATGATTAATTAATCCAGTTTTTTTAATAAAGGGTCGCTTTCGTTGGACTCACGCACACGGTGATGCTATTCTTAGAGCCTATAATGCTAGGATTTCGACCTGGCTTCGGCCCACTTTTAAGCGTGCCCGAGCGTGTGCAAGGCAGCCTAGATGGGTTTCGGATGAAGTGTGGGCCAACCTTTGTCGCCACTTGTCTTCGGATCCGAAATTCTTGGCCAGAAGTGAAACCGGTAAGAAAAACCGGATGTCTGAGAAGGCCTTGGAGACGCAGTGGCACGGGGGTCGCAAATCTCAGAGTGCCCATAGAGAAACTCTTGTAAGTGCTATTCAAAAAACCTTACACCATTACAACCCTTCATTATAAAAAATTTATGTAAGCCTTTTTTCGCACCATGTAGGCTGGGCCTGGGAAGAATAAGGTTGGAATTCTCAGGCTCGTCAAGCATTGCTGGACGAAGCACGACGAGGATTCAGAAGCCGATCTGCCACCCCGCCTCGCTGAACTCGAAGTATGTAACATCTTATTTTGTTATTTAGTAACATTTCAAATCCAAGTATGTAGCATTTCAATATATTTTTAAATGCAGACAAAGTATAACGAGACTGTTGAGAGTAAGCGTGCGGAGCGAGGCTTGACCCAAGAGGACGAGCTCGATTCTGATGCGGATAATGAGGCGATCATTGAGGCGGCCGGGGTTTACAAGGGTCGGGTTCCGTGCCTGGGGCCGAGGGGCAACGGATTTTGTATGATCGAAGCACCGACGCTTCCTCTTCGCGATCAAGGCGGGGAGAAGATCCTCGTATTGCCCAAATGCAGCGTGAACTAGAGGAGCACGAACGGCGATGAGAGGAGCAGCGGAAAAAAAAGGAAGAAACAAAAGCCAGGCTGGAGGAGATGGAATGGTTCATGCGTGCCGGATTCCAGCCTCCGCACCAGCCTTTTCCTCCCCCGTACGTATTGCACCCTGAGCAGACTCCTCAAGTTCCGCACATGGGCGGTATGGGCTTTTTCTCTAACTCCAGATACGGTGGCACGCCTACGATGGGTCCGAATTATCCGCATCGGAATCGAGCTCGTCCTCCTGGGTCAAGCCTCGCTCTGCACGCTTACTCTCAACAATCTCGTTATACTTTGTCTGCATTTAAAAATATATTGAAATGCTACATACTTGGATTTGAAATGTTACTATATAACAAAATAAGATGTTACATACTTCGAGTTCAGCGAGGCGGGGGTGGCAGATCGGCTTCTGAATCCTCGCCGTGCTTCGTCCAGCAATGCTTGACGAGCCTGAGAATTCCAACCTTATTCTTCCCAGGCCCAGCCTACATGGTGCGAAAAAAGGCTTAAATAAATTTTTTATAATGAAGGGTTGTAATGGTGTAAGGTTTTTTGAATAGCACTTACAAGAGTTTCTCTATGGGCACTCTGAGATTTGCGACCCCCGTGCCACTGCGTCTCCAAGGCCTTCTCAGACATCCGGTTTTTCTTACCGGTTTGACTTCTGGCCAAGAATTTCGGATCCGAAGACAAGTGGCGACAAAGGTTGGCCCACACTTCATCCGAAACCCATCTAGGCTGCCTTGCACACGCTCGGGCACGCTTAAAAGTGGGCCGAAACCAGGTCGAAATCCTAGCATTATAGGCTCTAAGAATAGCATCACTGTGTGCGTGAGTCCAACGAAAGCGACCCTTTATTAAAAAAACTGGATTAATTAATCATTTGTCATATATTAGGCTACTAAAATTACGCATGAAACATTCATTTATTTTTACCTTGAATAGGTTCCACCATAATTCGCGGACCTTGGGGTCAACATCCGTGTAGGTGGCCCAATTGCCAAGAAAGTGTCCTCCTATTATGTTTTTGATGCCTTCGAACACTTCTTTGTCACTTCAAAAAATTAATAGTATTTATTTATATAAGATTTGGTTATATTATTTGACATTATATAAAATTATTTGACATAAGGTTTGTTCATAACTACTTACTGAGCAACTTGGTGAGGTGTCACCCAAACCGCACTTTCACTGTTGCGCTCGGCCTCGAATATGGGCGCATAGTTAGGGTGGGCATGCGATGTTGATTGTTCGTTAGTCATCTAAGATATATTAATTTATTTTGTTTGATGTAAGTATGATTATAATAGAAGATCAAATTTTTATATAAGTATTATCAATTGAAAATGTGTATAACATATTAAACTGTGTATAAGTTTAATATGAGGGGTCCATATTTTTTCACCATAAGTTCATTTATAACATGGAAATAAATTGCTTTTAGAGGTAACATGTTAAACTTTTTGCAAAGTTTACATGAGAGGACATCATTTTTTTTTATGTTTTAGATATATGAGTTTTATCCACTTTTTATAAACATTTTTAAAAAATTATAAAAACAATATACTTTTTTTTCAAAAACAACTTATATAAAAAGGTTTTTATATAAAAACAGTAAAAAACAGTTTGTAAAGACAGTTTTTTACAAAATATATTTTATAAAAAACCTTGTTTACTTATTTAAAACAGTTTATTAATACAGTAATAGATTATAAAAATAATATACTTTTTTTATAAAAACTTTTTTCTAGAAAAACAGTATACTTTTTTATAAAAACAGTAAACTTTTTTATTAAAAAGCAGTTTTTATAAAAACTGTTTTCTAGAAAAACAGTATACTTTTTTTTAGAAAACAAATTTTATATAATAAAAACTGTTTTTAACAAATCTGTTTACTAATCAGTTTTTACAAAAAACTGCTTTTCACAAAAATCTGTTTTTACAAAAACTATTATAAAAATAAGTTCTTATACTTTCTATAAAAACAGTAATTTGGAAATTGAATTTTTTATCCAATTTTTAGAAAACAATTTTTTTAGATAAATTATTAAAACAGTTTATATAAAATAGTTTTTATAAAAAAAGTTTTTATATAAATTTTTTTTCAAAACACTTCTTTTAAAACAGTTAATATATTTTTTTTTCGGGAATCAGTTTTTTATATATATTTTGAATGTTTACGACTTTCTTATTATATATTTCGGAAATTATAATTAAACATGTAAACTATTTTTGGAAGTTTAACACGAGGGGCTATTTTTGGTAAGTTTTTCCCTGCAATGTCAACAACAATGTGAACATCTAGACGGTCTCCTTGACATTGTGGAGAAAAACTTACCAAAACTGTATAGAATCATTCAAATAAGGAGAGAAAGAATTTATGTACTAATATTTATGTGGTCATTTCTCATGTCACGTGTGCACCGTGCACATTTTACCATTGGAGATGCTCTTATATTATACTCCATGTGTTTCTACGCTTTGTATTTCATTGTGGTACTTCTTTAAATATTCTCCACTTTTTTAATTTGACAAATATTTTCCCATTAAAACCGACTCCAAACGGTAGGTTCGTCTCGTTACGTCCCTCCAGAGATGAGTGGGTGGGGAGACCGTGCTGAAATGATGTGGGAACCAGAAATGGTATATGACGCATACGGTGTATCAATGTCTCAGTTCAACCCCCCACAACCATCTAACGACCCCCCTGAAGCCTCGACCTCGTATCAACCAGATGCGGATGAAAATCCGTCATTTTATCAATCTTGTGTGGATGAAGGTTTGGCTGAGAGATTTCAGGATGTTCTAAAAGCTGCCGACCAACCTTTGTATGCTGATTGTGAGGGATACAATCAGCTATCCGCCGTTACAGAATTTATGAACATAAAAGCCGAATACAGTCTCCCTGAAACTTGCATGAATAGAGTCTTGCAGTCAGTAGGAGGGATGCTACCGCGTGATCATACCCTTCCCGATTCATATTACAACATGAAGCAGTTAATGTCTAAGTTAGGACTACCTTGTGTCGAAAATGATACGTGCCCGGAAGGATGTATGTTGTTCTGGAAGGAGGATGGGGCACTTGCGTTCTGCAAGTTCTGTGATGGAGACAGATACAAACCTGTTCCTCAAAGTAAAAAGAAACCACGACATAGGTCGGCACTGTCTAAACTGTATTACCTCCTAATAGCTCCTCGACTGCAGAGGATGTACGCTTCGACTGCTACTGCGAAACACATGACATGTGGCATGTTGAGCACGAAACCAATGAGGGTATGATGGCTCACCCTTCGGACTGTGAGGCCTGGAGACACTTTGACCGTTGTCATCCTCAGTTTGCTATGGAGCCACGAAATGTGCGGCTGGAATTGTGCTCAGACGGATTTGCTCCTTTTGGCAGGTTTGGGAAGAACTATTCATGTTGCCCGGTCATGTTAACTCCCGACATGTGCATGAAAAGTCATTTCATCTTTTTGTCTTTAATTTGTCCGGGTTCCAAGGATCCTGGAAGAAAGATAGACATTTATCTTCAACCCCTTATCGAGAGACGGACTTATGATGTTTCATCAGATCAGGTGTTTATCATGAAAGCTACCATCATTTGGACCATTAGCGACTTCCCTGTCTATGTCATGCTTTCTGGATGGAGCACACACGGTCTGATGGGATGTCCGATATGCATGGAGAAATCAGGTGCGAACTGGCTCAGTTACAGTAAAAAAAGGAAGTTACTTTGATTGTCACCACAAGTTTCTCCCGGAAAAGCACCGATATCGAAAGGACAAGAAGTCTTCCATTAGAGGCAGAGCGGTACGAGAGAGCGCACCCCCGAGATTGACCGGCGAAGAAATTTATAACCGGGTTCGACGTCTTCCTACGGCTATGGAAGAGCCAAACCAGGAACCACATGGGTTTTGTCATACCCATAAGTGGACAAAGAGGAGCATATTCTGGGAGTTGCCATATTGGAAAGACCTTCTCATCCGTCACAATTTAGATGTCATGCACACTGAGAATAACGTGTTTGACAATATATTTAACACGGTGATGGATTTCAAAGGCAAAACTAAAGACGGTCTTGCAGCTAGGAAAGATATGACTATTTGGTGTGATAGACCCGAACTTTCTGTTGATCTAGAATATCAGGGCAAGGAAGTTCCAAAAGTAGTCTACCAGTCGACAGAAGCACAAAAGGAAGCAAGGTTATGTTTTCTTTTCATTCGTATTTCTTTAATATTTGATTTAAATTCCAAAAATGCATTATGATATACTAAAATGGTTTGTTTCTTGAATATTGCATGCTCTTTTTTCTATGCTACTTTAATTTTAATATACCCGAAAAAAATGTATATTTTTAAAAATAGTTTTTTTTTTTGTTTTTAATTTGATGATTTATATGCATGTTTATAATATTCATGGATAGAATTTATTTGTTTTTTTTGTTTGAATGTCAATTATCCATGTTTAAACTATGCTCAATATATTTTCGGATTTATGCATGTTTATACAATTAGTTTGATGTTTTATATGCATGCTTATAAATTTTTATAAGCATTTTTATATGCATGAATTTTTATTTTGTTCAAAAAAATATCGCTTATATTTTAGTTTGATGTCTAATATGCATGATAAATCTTTAGATATGCATGGAATTTCTAATGTTTGTAGGGTTTTTTGTAAATTATTTTCGGACTAATAATGAAGCATGCTCAATAAGATTTTTGGACATTATTAGGATGATTATTTTATCGGCTATCAATATTATTATTCCCGAATTATTTTAAAGAAATAGCCCCTCGTGTTAAACTTCCAAAAATAGTTTAACATGTTGAAAAGCAGTTTTTTGTAAAAACTGATTAGTAAACAGATTTGTTAAAAACAGTTTTTATTATATAAAAACTGTTTTCTAAAAAAAAGTATACTGTTTTTCTAGAAAACAGTTTTTATAAAAACTGCTTTTTAATAAAAAAAGTTTACTGTTTTATAAAAAAGTATACTGTTTTTCTAGAAAAAAGTTTTTATAAAAAAAGTATATTATTTTTATAATCTATTACTGTATTAATAAACTGTTTTAAATAAGTAAACAAGGTTTTTTATAAAATATATTTTGTAAAAAACTGTCTTTACAAACTGTTTTTTACTGTTTTTATATAAAAACCTTTTTATATAAGTTGTTTTTGAAAAAAAAGTATATTGTTTTTATAATTTTTTAAAAATGTTTATAAAAAGTGGATAAAACTCATATATCTAAAACATAAAAAAAATGATGTCCTCTCATGTAAACTTTGCAAAAAGTTTAACATGTTACCTCTAAGAGCAATTTATTTCCATGTTATAAATGAACTTATGGTGAAAAAATATGGACCCCTCATATTAAACTTATACACAGTTTAATATGTTATACACATTTTCAATTGATAATACTTATATAAAAATTTGATCTTCTATTATAATCATACTTACATCAAACAAAATAAATTAATATATCTTAGATGACTGACGAACAATCAACATCGCGTGCCCGCCCTAACTATGCGCCCATGACCGAAGCCGAGCGCAACAATGAAAGTGCGGTTTGGGTGACACCTCACCAAGTTGCTCAGTAAGTAGTTATGAACAAACCTTATGTCAAATAATTTTATATAATGTCAAATAATATAACCAAATCTTATATAAATAAATACTATTAATTTTTTGAAGTGACAAAGAAGTGTTCAAAGGCATCAAAAACATAATAGGAGGACACTTTCTTGGCAATTGGGCCACATACGCGGATGTTGACCCCAAGGTCCGCGAATTATGATGGAACCTATTCAAGTTAAAAATAAATGAATGTTTCATGCGTAATTGTAGTAGCCTAATATATAACAAATGATTAATTAATCCAGTTTTTTTAATAAAGGGTCGCTTTCGTTGGACTCACGCACACGGTGATGCTATTCTTAGAGCCTATAATGCTAGGATTTCGACCTGGCTTCGGCCCACTTTTAAGCGTGCCCGAGCGTGTGCAAGGCAGCCTAGATGGGTTTCGGATGAAGTGTGGGCCAACCTTTGTCGCCACATGTCTTCGGATCCGAAATTCTTGGCCAGAAGTGAAACCGGTAAGAAAAACCGGATGTCTGAGAAGGCCTTGGAGACGCAGTGGCACGGGGGGTCGCAAATCTCAGAGTGCCCATAGAGAAACTCTTGTAAGTGCTATTCAACAAACCTTACACCATTACAACCCTTCATTATAAAAAATTCATGTAAGCCTTTTTTCGCACCATGTAGGCTGGGCCTGGGAAGAATAAGGTTGGAATTCTCAGGCTCGTCAAGCATTGCTGGACGAAGCACAGCGAGGATTCAGAAGCCGATCTGCCACCCCCGCCTCGCTGAACTCGAAGTATGTAACATCTTATTTTGTTATTTAGTAACATTTCAAATCCAAGTATGTAGCATTTCAATATATTTTTAAATGCAGACAAAGTATAACGAGACTGTTGAGAGTAAGCGTGCGGAGCGAGGCTTGACCCAGGAGGACGAGCTCGATTCTGATGCGGATAATGAGGCGATCATTGAGGCGGCCGGGGTTTACAAGGGTCGGGTTCCGTGCCTGGGGCCGAGGGGCAACGGATTTTGTATGATCGAAGCACCGGCGCTTCCTCTTCGCGATCAAGGCAGGGAGAAGATCCTCGTATTGCCCAAATGCAGCGTGAACTAGAGGAGCACGAACGGCGATGAGAGGAGCAGCGGAAAAAAAAGGAAGAAACAAAAGCCAGGCTGGAGGAGATGGAATGGTTCATGCGTGCCGGATTCCAGCCTCCGCACCAGCCTTTTCCTCCCCCGTACGTATTGCACCCTGAGCAGACTCCTCAAGTTCCGCACATGGGCGGTATGGGCTTTTTCTCTAACTCCAGATACGGTGGCACGCCTACGATGGGTCCGAATTATCCGCATCGGAATCGAGCTCGTCCTCCTGGGTCAAGCCTCGCTCTGCACGCTTACTCTCAACAGTCTCGTTATACTTTGTCTGCATTTAAAAATATATTGAAATGCTACATACTTGGATTTGAAATGTTACTATATAACAAAATAAGATGTTACATACTTCGAGTTCAGCGTGGCGGGGGTGGCAGATCGGCTTCTGAATCCTCGCCGTGCTTCGTCCAGCAATGCTTGACGAGCCTGAGAATTCCAACCTTATTCTTCCCAGGCCCAGCCTACATGGTGCGAAAAAAGGCTTAAATAAATTTTTTATAATGAAGGGTTGTAATGGTGTAAGGGTTTTTGAATAGCACTTACAAGAGTTTCTCTATGGGCACTCTGAGATTTGCGACCCCCGTGCCACTGCGTCTCCAAGGCCTTCTCAGACATCCGGTTTTTCTTACCGGTTTCACTTCTGGCCAAGAATTTCGGATCCGAAGACATGTGGCGACAAAGGTTGGCCCACACTTCATCCGAAACCCATCTAGGCTGCCTTGCACACGCTCGGGCACGCTTAAAAGTGGGCCGAAGCCAGGTCGAAATCCTAGCATTATAGGCTCTAAGAATAGCATCACCGTGTGCGTGAGTCCAACGAAAGCGACCCTTTATTAAAAAAACTGGATTAATTAATCATTTGTTATATATTAGGCTACTACAATTACGCATGAAACATTCATTTATTTTTAACTTGAATAGGTTCCATCATAATTCGCGGACCTTGGGGTCAACATCCGCGTATGTGGCCCAATTGCCAAGAAAGTGTCCTCCTATTATGTTTTTGATGCCTTTGAACACTTCTTTGTCACTTCAAAAAATTAATAGTATTTATTTATATAAGATTTGGTTATATTATTTGACATTATATAAAATTATTTGACATAAGGTTTGTTCATAACTACTTACTGAGCAACTTGGTGAGGTGTCACCCAAACCGCACTTTCATTGTTGCGCTCGGCTTCGGTCATGGGCGCATAGTTAGGGCGGGCACGCGATGTTGATTGTTCGTCAGTCATCTAAGATATATTAATTTATTTTGTTTGATGTAAGTATGATTATAATAGAAGATCAAATTTTTATATAAGTATTATCAATTGAAAATGTGTATAACATATTAAACTGTGTATAAGTTTAATATGAGGGGTCCATATTTTTTCACCATAAGTTCATTTATAACATGGAAATAAATTGCTCTTAGAGGTAACATGTTAAACTTTTTGCAAAGTTTACATGAGAGGACATCATTTTTTTTATGTTTTAGATATATGAGTTTTATCCACTTTTTATAAACATTTTTAAAAAATTATAAAAACAATATACTTTTTTTTCAAAAACAACTTATATAAAAAGGTTTTTATATAAAAACAGTAAAAAACAGTTTGTAAAGACAGTTTTTTACAAAATATATTTTATAAAAAACCTTGTTTACTTATTTAAAACAGTTTATTAATACAGTAATAGATTATAAAAATAATATACTTTTTTTATAAAAACTTTTTTCTAGAAAAACAGTATACTTTTTTATAAAACAGTAAACTTTTTTTATTAAAAAGCAGTTTTTATAAAAACTGTTTTCTAGAAAAACAGTATACTTTTTTTTAGAAAACAGTTTTTATATAATAAAAACTGTTTTTAACAAATCTGTTTACTAATCAGTTTTTACAAAAAACTGCTTTTCAACATGTTAAACTATTTTTGGAAGTTTAACACGAGGGGCTATTTCTTTAAAATAATTCGGGAATAATAATATTGATAGCCGATAAAATAATCATCCTAATAATGTCCAAAAATCTTATTGAGCATGCTTCATTATTAGTCCGAAAATAATTTACAAAAAACCCTACAAACATTAGAAATTCCATGCATATCTAAAGATTTATCATGCATATTAGACATCAAACTAAAATATAAGCGATATTTTTTTGAACAAAATAAAAATTCATGCATATAAAAATGCTTATAAAAATTTATAAGCATGCATATAAAACATCAAACTAATTGTATAAACATGCATAAATCCGAAAATATATTGAGCATAGTTTAAACATGGATAATTGACATTCAAACAAAAAAAACAAATAAATTCTATCCATGAATATTATAAACATGCATATAAATCATCAAATTAAAAACAAAAAAAAAAACTATTTTTAAAAATATACATTTTTTTCGGGTATATTAAAATTAAAGTAGCATAGAAAAAAGAGCATGCAATATTCAAGAAACAAACCATTTTAGTATATCATAATGCATTTTTGGAATTTAAATCAAATATTAAAGAAATACGAATGAAAAGAAAACATAACCTTGCTTCCTTTTGTGCTTCTGTCGACTGGTAGACTACTTTTGGAACTTCCTTGCCCTGATATTCTAGATCAACAGAAAGTTCGGGTCTATCACACCAAATAGTCATATCTTTCCTAGCTGCAAGACCGTCTTTAGTTTTGCCTTTGAAATCCATCACCGTGTTAAATATATTGTCAAACACGTTATTCTCAGTGTGCATGACATCTAAATTGTGACGGATGAGAAGGTCTTTCCAATATGGCAACTCCCAGAATATGCTCCTCTTTGTCCACTTATGGGTATGACAAAACCCATGTGGTTCCTGGTTTGGCTCTTCCATAGCCGTAGGAAGACGTCGAACCCGGTTATAAATTTCTTCGCCGGTCAATCTCGGGGGTGCGCTCTCTCGTACCGCTCTGCCTCTAATGGAAGACTTCTTGTCCTTTCGATATCGGTGCTTTTCCGGGAGAAACTTGTGGTGACAATCAAAGTAACTTCCTTTTTTTACTGTAACTGAGCCAGTTCGCACCTGATTTCTCCATGCATATCGGACATCCCATCAGACCGTGTGTGCTCCATCCAGAAAGCATGACATAGACAGGGAAGTCGCTAATGGTCCAAATGATGGTAGCTTTCATGATAAACACCTGATCTGATGAAACATCATAAGTCCGTCTCTCGATAAGGGGTTGAAGATAAATGTCTATCTTTCTTCCAGGATCCTTGGAACCCGGACAAATTAAAGACAAAAAGATGAAATGACTTTTCATGCACATGTCGGGAGTTAACATGACCGGGCAACATGAATAGTTCTTCCCAAACCTGCCAAAAGGAGCAAATCCGTCTGAGCACAATTCCAGCCGCACATTTCGTGGCTCCATAGCAAACTGAGGATGACAACGGTCAAAGTGTCTCCAGGCCTCACAGTCCGAAGGGTGAGCCATCATACCCTCATTGGTTTCGTGCTCAACATGCCACATGTCATGTGTTTCGCAGTAGCAGTCGAAGCGTACATCCTCTGCAGTCGAGGAGCTATTAGGAGGTAATACAGTTTAGACAGTGCCGACCTATGTCGTGGTTTCTTTTTACTTTGAGGAACAGGTTTGTATCTGTCTCCATCACAGAACTTGCAGAACGCAAGTGCCCCATCCTCCTTCCAGAACAACATACATCCTTCCGGGCACGTATCATTTTCGACACAAGGTAGTCCTAACTTAGACATTAACTGCTTCATGTTGTAATATGAATCGGGAAGGGTATGATCACGCGGTAGCATCCCTCCTACTGACTGCAAGACTCTATTCATGCAAGTTTCAGGGAGACTGTATTCGGCTTTTATGTTCATAAATTCTGTAACGGCGGATAGCTGATTGTATCCCTCACAATCAGCATACAAAGGTTGGTCGGCAGCTTTTAGAACATCCTGAAATCTCTCAGCCAAACCTTCATCCACACAAGATTGATAAAATGACGGATTTTCATCCGCATCTGGTTGATACGAGGTCGAGGCTTCAGGGGGGTCGTTAGATGGTTGTGGGGGGTTGAACTGAGACATTGATACACCGTATGCGTCATATACCATTTCTGGTTCCCACATCATTTCAGCACGGTCTCCCCACCCACTCATCTCTGGAGGGACGTAACGAGACGAACCTACCGTTTGGAGTCGGTTTTAATGGGAAAATATTTGTCAAATTAAAAAAGTGGAGAATATTTAAAGAAGTACCACAATGAAATACAAAGCGTAGAAACACATGGAGTATAATATAAGAGCATCTCCAATGGTAAAATGTGCACGGTGCACACGTGACATGAGAAATGACCACATAAATATTAGTACATAAATTCTTTCTCTCCTTATTTGAATGATTCTATACAGTTTTGGTAAGTTTTTCTCCACAATGTCAAGGAGACCGTCTAGATGTTCACATTGTTGTTGACATTGCAGGGAAAAACTTACCAAAAATAGCCCCTCGTGTTAAACTTCCAAAAATAGTTTACATGTTTAATTATAATTTCCGAAATATATAATAAGAAAGTCGTAAACATTCAAAATATATATAAAAAACTGATTCCCGAAAAAAAAAATATATTAACTGTTTTAAAAGAAGTGTTTTGAAAAAAAATTTATATAAAAACTTTTTTTATAAAAACTATTTTATATAAACTGTTTTAATAATTTATCTAAAAAAATTGTTTTCTAAAAATTGGATAAAAAATTCAATTTCCAAATTACTGTTTTTATAGAAAGTATAAGAACTTATTTTTATAATAGTTTTTGTAAAAACAGATTTTTGTGAAAAGCAGTTTTTTGTAAAAACTGATTAGTAAACAGATTTGTTAAAAACAGTTTTTATTATATAAAAACTGTTTTCTAAAAAAAAGTATACTGTTTTTCTAGAAAACAGTTTTTATTTTTTTTTGAAAAAGAAAACAGTTTTTATAAAAACTGCTTTTTAATAAAAAAGTTTACTGTTTTATAAAAAAGTATACTGTTTTTCTAGAAAAAAGTTTTTATAAAAAAAGTATATTATTTTTATAATCTATTACTGTATTAATAAACTGTTTTAAATAAGTAAACAAGGTTTTTTATAAAATATATTTTGTAAAAAACTGTCTTTACAAACTGTTTTTTACTGTTTTTATATAAGTTGTTTTTGAAAAAAAAGTATATTGTTTTTATAATTTTTTAAAAATGTTTATAAAAAGTGGATAAAACTCATATATCTAAAACATAAAAAAAAATGATGTCCTCTCATGTAAACTTTGCAAAAAGTTTAACATGTTACCTCTAAGAGCAATTTATTTCCATGTTATAAATGAACTTATGGTGAAAAAATATGGACCCCTCATATTAAACTTATACACAGTTTAATATGTTATACACATTTTCAATTGATAATACTTATATAAAAATTTGATCTTCTATTATAATCATACTTACATCAAACAAAATAAATTAATATATCTTAGTTTCTATTCTATGTGACATGTGTGTGCATGTTTTGTGTTCTTATTCATATATTTGTGAAATTTATAGGATCAATTGTGCGAGATCATCAACTCTAGATTTAAAGAAGTGATTGACATATTTCAGTCTTTACAGACATTGTTCGCACCCTCTTGGGAATCATATCAAGAAACAAAGGTAATTTTTATTTATAATAGCAAATAGTAAAAGGTACAAATTAACCATAAATTTACAAATAAAGCGCTGAAGTTGTAATATCTCGAGCCTAAATCTTCATCTTGCAAAGTTCCTATTCTATGTGACATGTGTGTGCATGTTTTGTGTTCTTATTCATATATTTGTGAAATTTATAGGATCAATTGTGCGAGACCATCAACTCTAGATTTAAAGAAGTCATTAACATATTTCAGACTTTACAGACATTGTTCGTACCCCTCTTGGAAATCATATCAAGAAACAAAGGTAATTTTTATTTATAATAGCAAATAGTAAAAGGTACAAATTAACCATAAATTTACAAATATTTCAGATTTCACCATGAACTCGTGTAGAATTTGATCTGATCAATTCTTGCTCTATTTTGTGATGTTGAAGGCATTTTCTATGTCATTGGAAAAGATCTTATCGAGCTATAAAACTCGTCTTCAGGCATCGGTTTTGAAATATCAATGGATGATTGCTAGAGCTGTCAAAACGGGCCCAAACCCGCGGGTCAACCCGTTTAAACCCATTTACAAACGGGTTAGGGTTGTAATATTTGGACCCATTTATGTCACGGGTTTAGCGGGCTAACCCTAACGGGTTACGGGTTTTGGCGGGCCAGCCCGTGCAGGTTACGGGTCAACCCGCGGGCTGGATAAAATATGATAAATTTTTCTTATTATATTTTAATATTAATACTTAATACGGTGCACATGTTTGGCGGTTTAGGTCCCTTAGAAGAGGAAGAGTCTGCACAGCTCATTTTCGAATCGTTTGTCTGGAAGATGGATAGACCAACAGCCAAGAAGCACAAAGTAATTCTTTATATTAGTTGTCTTCTACACTTCCATGGTTCCAGTTCCATTTTTACTTTCTCTACTTTTCTCTGGTTCGTTCAAAATCTTCTCAATATCTCCATATATTTTTGAGTAATCTGTTTTGATCTGCTCTTTGATTATTCTCTTTTGTATGGATTTGTTTTAGGGGAATATTGAGCACCACTCATTTCTTCCCATCACAGGTATGTATTGTTAATTTTGGTACTTAAACTTTATCAGAATTTCTTCTTCAATGCGATTCAATCGTTAACAAGATATTAAGATGACATATAGATTACTCCGTAATAAGGATTACAATTGTGTTTGTAGTCTGTAGACTTCTTTATTTTATAGCCACAATTAGTCAATTATAGGATTTTTGACAGAACATATATTTGCAAGCGGTTGATTTATAATTGTATTGTTCTTTATCTTCTTTTCTATCCAGTATTTTCCATTGAAGTAAACCAACTATAGCAAATTAGCAATCATACTTTCAGAGAATTAAACAAATTATTGTATTTTTAGCTATATTATTCAAATTTTCTTTTTACAATAACTGAGATATTCAGAGATAGAATGAGGTACAAACTTTTAATAGGATGTTTTTTTATAAATCTCGATTGACAAATAGTGCAGGCCAGGTAGTCTTTTATGTGTTCTTTAGTTTTCAGCAACTTTATTTAGTTTTTATTTGTAATATTTTTTTGTTTAACTTTTTTTTTTGAAAATATCATCTTTAATAATTAAATGATCTTTTATTTGTGTTGCAGCTCTATGGATTCAATGGAGTATCAATCACAAGGTGTGAATGAATGTGATGCTGATCAACAATGAATGTTTAATAACAATGTACAATTTCTTATGCACATGATGTATTTGACACAAATCAAGGGTATCAACACTTATTCACAATTATAATGTAGTTAATAATTTTGATTTCATTAATATCCATTGGGTTAGTCTCCCTCTTTATGGGGAAATAGATTTTTATGAAAAATATAAAAACGTATGCATACTAGTGAAACACAGAAGGATGTCTAATGTAATTTTTTTGTTTTTGGAGAATTCCCAGACTAAATGAAAATTTTATTGTCAAAATAGGAGCATAACTTAAAAATTTCTTAAATAGAACTAGCTTTCCCATTCTACACTTACTTTGTTTTAAAACAATTCATATTTTTTTGGGAAAACTGTCAAATAGGTCCTCGAACTTTCAAAAAAGGGTCAATTAAGTTCTTCTATAGGAGGTTCTGTCCGGCCGTCGCGATTTGGGGCAGTTTCCGGTGGAATTTTTTGATGAAAATTTTTTAGCACCTTATTCACCAAGTCTAGTTTACTAATACCAAATTTCAGCTAAAAATTCAATCGGGAACACATTCAAATTAATTCTTAAAGATAACTGCGCATTTTTGCATTCTCGAATTAATTTGAATGCCTTCCCGATTAAATGTTTAGTTGAAATTTGGTATGGGTAAACTAGGCTTGATGAATAAGATTCTCAAAAAATTTCATCAAAAAATTCCACCGGGAACCACCCCAAATCGCGAAGACCGGACAAAGTCTCCTATAGAAGGACTTAATTGACTTTTTTATGAATGTTCGAGAACCTATTTGACAGTTTTTCCTATTTTTTTAAAAACAAAACAATTTTTATTAAAGAAATGGAAAGTAAAGTACATTTAGAAAATAAAAGAGAACAAAATAAAACCAACCAACCCGAATTACAACAAAGAACCCTCCCCATCATCCTTAATGCTTAATCAAGAATCTCCATACGTGATTGGGATCTGGTCTTCATAAGATGCGACCTCTTATGCTTTTTCCTGTATATTTTCATTTGGGTATTAAGTATTTAAGTTCGTTGTAGGCAAGCAGTTGTCCCTCGTGACCAGTTTTGCTTTGTTACAAATATCCTGATTGGTGTCAGAGTCCCATAGATCCTCCATCGAAGAAATAGGAGTCCTCTTTTCACTCTCTGAAGCATGACCAAGGAAATCATCTCCCAGAGTTATAGGCTAGCTTTTCAGAAAATACACCCTCACTATCATCTCCCAAGTATTGAGTTTCACTCGGGAATTTGACATTAGGACCGTGATTAGCATTCACTTTTTTTACACATTTTCTCATCTAAAGAGTCTCTATTACCAATAGCAGTTGAAAGAATTCTTTCAAATTCTTTGATTGAGCTTTAGAAGAAATCCTTAATGATTGGTAAAGAAGAGTCAAGAGTTCCCGAGTGCTCAATGATACAATTATCCCCAGCCGGAAGCAAGACAAGAGATTTCTCAAAAGAATTAGACATGTCAATATCAATCTGAAGCAATGCCCCCGAAATAGAAAATTCGTTCTGGTGGGAGGGGTTCCTGTCCAACCAAGGAATGAAAATATCTCTCTCAAAATTAGATTGGACGTTACCTAGATTCTCACCTGAACATTCCTTCATTAGATGAATTGCTCTTGAGATCCCATTCATAAAGTGTTAAATCCCCAATCCATTCCATCCTTCAGGTATAAACAAGGAATCACAATCTTTCTCGATGATGCGAAAGAAGCCTCCAAAGAAATTAGCATCATGAAAAAATTGAAGAGACTTATTCAATTCAAGCTTAGTACGAGACCAATTATCAGATAAAAGCTTGGCAATTGAGTTCATCAACCAAGTCACCCTTTCAAGATCAAGATCAATGGCAGATGTAATATGATTTTTTGTTTCAAATATTCGAATAAAGTTGCAACTAAAGATATAGAAACGGAAAGATTTGCTTTCAATTGGAATTTCAAACCCATTTGGATGAATTAAAAAATTCTCAGCCTTCCAATCCAAAGGAATAAAAAAATTCCCCTGAATATTAGTCTGGTTAGCTTCCCTTCGATCTGGATGGAGCTTGGTTGTTGCTTGCGGATGAGCTGATGTCAATTCCCTTTGTGCTGCTGTGTGTTGGCAAATAGGTGACTCGTGATGTCGTCGTTGCTGTGAAAAACAGCCTGGTCTAGAACTTCTATGACCAAAATTTCCAAAGCCCAGGCTATTATTCCCCTGCAGATTTGACCGGTGTGCTTCCTAACGATATGGAGAGAGCTTGGTCGTTGCCTCTAAATGAACTGAAGCTGGTTTCCCTTGCCTTGGTTTCAGAGGTACCAAGATCCATCCTTTGGGTCCGCCATTTCTGAGAAGACAGACCCGTACGGAGGTAGTTTCGCGGGCGTTGGGAAGGTATCTCCTTCTTTGCGAGCTCCAGTCGCTGAGTGGATCGCGGATGAGCTTGATTTTCCATGGAAGAGATACAGTTGTCTCCTAATTTTGTCCGTTGTTGGCTGGCTGAAATCCAGAAAGACTCATCAACACAAACCGGGAAGGAGCCCAACAGAATAGTGCCAGTGCCCGCCTTCTTGCCATTGAACTCTTCTGGTTGTGTGTTGCCGCCGGCCACAGCGCCAGCAGTTATGCTGGAGGTCCCTAAAGTCGCCAGACCCTCTCTCTCTAAAACAATTCATATTTCATTAATAACTAAAATATAAAAGTAATAAAAAAAATATAACTCTATTCATAATAAAAATGTAATAAAAACACGAAATAAATATTAAATAAAAAAATAAAAATAGAAACATACAAGAGATATTTTACAAGTAAACGGGTAGCTCACTTTACTCTTTGTATTTGGGAATTACTTAATTCTACCTCACTCATGAGAGCCTTCTTGAATTGTCTTCTCTCACCATCAAGATGTTATTCACTCACACTCATCACATGACATCTTTGAATCTCTCTTTTCTCATAAGAAGGTTGTGATCAATTATATCCCTCAAGAAGGCTATAACTCTCACTCACTCATCAAGAGCTTTTTTCGAGACTCTCGTAGGGATGAGGAGTGTCACTCCTATTTATACTAATCTTCTCAAGGCTAGAACTCTCTATACACCACTACACTTCTAGAGTCTTTCAAGAAGTATCCACAAGTTTCTCCAATCTTCGGGAAGGATTTAGAGAACTTCGCATCTCTTCTGACTGTGCTAGAGACTTTCACACATATCCACACGATTATAGAGAATTCTACACTTATCTAGAAAACTCTACAATGTTCTAGAATATTCTACACTATTCCACACGCCTATTCTAAAATATTCTACACTACCATGTCTATCTAGAAAGCTCAAGATTTATTCTAGAACACTCAATACTTCTCTATACATACATATCTATAGAATTCTAGACATCTCAACAATATTCTAAAGTTCTCAATAATTTTTCAGGTAAGGAGGGAACTCAACAAGGCGGAAAAGAAAAGAATGAAGTTTATTTTGGAGCAAACGAGTACTCCATAATGTATGTGAATTGAACTAAAGGGATTTGCTACAGTCTGTTATGGCCAATAGAAATATCATAAGAACTTTTGAGGTGGTAGCAAAAACAAATTGTTACTTTTAAATAATTAGAGATGATGTATTGTCTTGTCTTATGTACATTACAAGATTGGCTTTTTATATCAATTTCCTTGACCGGGAGCAGATGCCCTAAATACAACCGTAAGGCCGATGCAGAAATGAGGGGTTGTATAGATCCTTCCTTGTACGTCAATTATATTGGGTCATTGGGGATTTGTGGCGGCCAACTGATGATTGAGACAACTTCTTCCATCAATTAGACGATCATTATACTCATCCTCTAAGAAGCTTGATTCTACGGATTGTTGAAGTGGTCTTCTCTAGGGGTGAGCAGAACCCGAACCCACCCGAAAACCCGATCGGGTCTGCCCTCAAATACCCGCCTGGGTCGGTCGACCCGAACCTGAGAACCCGAACCGAAAAGCCCAGCCCATGTTTTAAGGGTTATGGGTTACGGGTAGGGTTTTCTAAATGGCTACCCGACCCGCCCGAATACCGGAACTACCCGAACTACCCTAAGTATATATACTAATTATTTTACCCTAAACCCAACCCTACCACTTCAGCGCCTCCACTCTTCACTCGCAACTCCCTCTAACCCTCTCCCCTACTCCGACTTCTCTCTAACCATCCAACTTCTACCATCTCCGATTCTCCGGTAGTCCATTAGTCCCTCACTCCCTGTAAATCTGTAATGGTCTGACCTCTGTAGTCTGTACGAATTAGCCTCTCTGCCTTGGTGGAAGCTGAATATAGCGTACCAGTCTTGTGGATTTGTGGAAGCTTGCAAGTTGCAACCCATTCGATTATCTGAATTCTTTGATCTTTGTGAGGTATAAACGTTAAATACTTAAAGTGTATGTTTGGTCCGCTTGGATTAACCATTTCATGCATCTTCCGATCTGAAAAATTGGCTTTGAAATGTGCTTTGGTGGAAGCCTGATCCCTAAATGTGATGTGTTATCAGTTTTGTGAATGAATTAGTTGTGTTATTTAGATGCACTGTTATGTGTTTGGTGGAAGCTTGAAACCCTAGATTCGGCCTGTGAACCCCTTTGTATGAACTACCTAATAATCTGTGATGCCTGATGCCTCGATGATGCCTATGTGATTCTGAGATTATTATATAAATGGCCGATGAGTAAAGATGATGATTGATTTATTTTGACAAGTGTTGAAGTTGCCATTTTCTACTCAAACACTCAAAGGAGTAATTAGAGTGAACTGGTATCTTCTAAGTCTGTAGAGAAGTGAATAAGTCTACTGCTTATATCCTTCTGTAAATCAGCTTGCTGATTGTTCCAGACTTTAATGTGAATGTATGAATGTATGATGTTGTTTTCAATCTGTGATGCTTTGGTCATGTCTTAGAATATGTGATTATGAGATTAGAGTGGAAGCTCCCCATTTCTATGAGTATGTGTAAATTGTAATGTGGAGTCATTACAAATTTTCAGAATTATGATGCTTTCATACAAATATTTTGTATATTCTGAATTTCTGATTATTGGTTAATACAATTTGTTGAGTAAAGAACTAAAGATGATGGATGATCTGTTCTGACAAGTGTTGAGGATACCTTTCTCTACTCAAACACTCAAACGAGTAGTTAGAGTGAACTGGTATCTTCTAAGTCTGTAGAGAAGTGAATAAGCCAACTGCTTATATCCTTCTGTAGATTAGCTTGTTGATTGTTCCAGACTTTATTGTGAATGTATGAATGTATGATGTTGTTTTCAATCTGGAAGCTTGCATTGAGTTTTTTGAACTATATATTCCTATGAATTATCAGAATGGAAGTTGAATGTATGGATACCATACCTGCATCCGGTTCTCAACCTACTCTGACTCCTGTTTCCCAAGAACCTATGGTGGAAGCTAATGATGCTGGGGATAACACCAGCACACAGCAGACAAATGTTCCTGGAAATAAGAGAAAGGAGGTAGAGTCCAGATCTAAAATATGGGATCAGTTTGTTAAGATCAAAGATAGTAATGGTGTTGTTATCAAAGGAAAATGCATACATTGTGCTAAAACATATTGTTGTCAGTCTAAGAAGCATGGCACTTCCTCCCTTAGAAATCACATACTTAGTTGTCTGAAATTGCCTTGCTCCAAGGATGCAAGGCAAGCCCTTCTCACTTTCCAACCAGTTCTGTGTAATCCAACATCTAAAAAAACTGGGGTGTTAGGGACTTGGGTGTTTGATCAGGGTGCAATTAGGAGAGCACTTGCTGAAATGCTTATCATTGATGAGCTGTCATTTAGATTTGTGGACAGACAAGGATTTAGGAAGTTTATCTCTGTAGCTTGTCCTAGTTTCCAAATTCCTTCCAGATGGACAATTGCTAGAGACATCTACCAAATATTTTTAGATGAGAAAGTAAGTCTGAAAAAGTTGTTTAGGGAACACACTCAGAGGGTCTCTATAACAACTGACACATTGACCTCTGTACAAAGGATCAATTACATGTGTATAACAGCACATTTCATTGATCATGAGTGGAAGCTGAATAAAAAATAATTTCCTTTGTTCCTGTGACTTCCCACAAAGGAGAGTACTTAGCAAAAGCCCTAGAGTCTTGCCTGGTGGATTGGGGATTGAAATCTATCTTCACTGTGACTGTTGATAATGCTAGTAGTAATGACACTGCAATTGGTTTTTTTAAGAAGAAACTTTTATCTTGGGGCGCCTCTTCTGTAAAAGTTAAGTACCTTCATATGAGGTGTATTGCTCATATCCTTAATTTGGCTGTCCAAGATGGTTTAAAAGAAAGTGATACTTCTGTTCAAAGAGTCAGAGATGCTGTTAAGTATGTTAGAAATTCTCCTGCTAGGCTACAAAAATTCAAGGACATTTCAGACTTGATTGGAATGGAAACTAAAGTTGGATTGCACCTAGATGTCCCAACTAGGTGGAAATCAACCTATTTGATGCTCAAATCTGCAATGTCCAATGAAAAAGTGTTTGAAGCTTATGAGGAGAATGAGAGTTCCTATCTTGTTGATCTGGGGAGTGAGAGTCCTGATGTTGAGGACTGGATTGCAATTGAAACTTTGGTGGTCATTCTTAAAAATTTCTATGATATGACACTTAGGATTTCAGGCTCTCTTTATGTCACTGCAAATACTTTCTTCTCTGAAATATCTGATCTGTTCCTTGTTCTCAAAGAAATGGTTGCTTCTGAAACTGAATCTGTGTCTAAAATGGGGACTACTATGAAATCCAAATTGGATAAGTATTGGGGTGATCCAGAAAAAATGAACATGCTCATTTTCTTTGCAAATGTGCTTGACCCTAGAGACAAATATGAATACATGCCACATCAATTGAATGCTTTGTATGGGGATAAGATAGGTGTGGCATTCTTTGCAAAGATAAAGTTGGGTTTGAATGAGTTGTATGGTGATTATGTTACAAACTATGATGTTCCAGTCAGTGGAAGCTCTCAATTAACCCCAAATTCTGTTTCTTTACAATCTGAGTCAACTGGAAGTAGACCTATCTCTAAATTCAAAGCCCAATTGAAAAAGCAAAAACAATATAGTGACCTCTTAGGGTTGAAAAAAAATGAACTTGAACTGTATTTGAGTGAGAACATTCTTGAGGAGGACAATGAATTTGATATATTAAGATGGTGGAAGCTTAATGGTGAGAGGTTTCCTATCCTATCTAGGATGGCAAGAGACATTCTTGCTGTTCCTATTTCCACAGTAGCTTCTGAGTCTACTTTTAGTACAAGTGGAAGGGTGTTGGATTGTTTTAGGAGTTCATTGAGTGCCAAAATTGTAGAAGCACTCATATGTGCTCAAGACTGGTTGAGGATGTCCAACCAGCCTGTGTCAGTTGAAGAAAATATTGAGGAGGTTGACAGGCTGGAAACAGGTACTAACTTGATTTTAGTATTCAGTATTTATATTTAAAGTTATTGCTAACCTGATTTTGTTTTCAATGCAGAATTGACTGAAGGAAATGTTGGTGGAGGAAATGTTGGTGGTGGCCCTTCTCTTGATCAGATAGCAGTAAAACTTATACTTTATCTTTTATATATGTAATTTGTTACTTCACTAATGAACATGCTATGATTCTGTCAATGTCCTGGCTGTAAATGCATAACCCTGCTGCTTTGATGGGAATTGGAAGGGTTGCTGATGCACTGGTAATGTGTGTGTGTGTGTGACAACAAGACATGGTAATGTTGTTTCACTCTATACTATTTCTTCCAGTGTTCCATATTTATTGCAATGATGATAGCTTCCACCAAACAATGAAATTAATGGTAGCTGGTGTTGATTATATTTCTATATAGTTTCAATGCCCCCATTAATAGTGAAGTGAATGCAAATCTGAGCCAAACTATGCCCCTACTACTTGCACTTTGCTGGAAATACTTTAATATGACATTGTATCTGTATACTATTTGTTCTAGTGTTCCATATTTATTGCAATGATGATTGCTTCCACCAAACAATGAAATTAATGGTAGCTGGTGTTGATTCTATTTTTATATAGTTTCAATGCCCCCATTAATAGTGAAGTGAATGCAAATCTGAGCCAAACTATGCCCCTGCTACTTGCACTTTGCTGGAAATACTTTAATATGACATTGTATCTGTATACTATTTGTTCCAGTGTTCCATGTTTATTGCAATGATGATTGCTTCCACCAAACAATGAAATTAATGGTAGCTGGTGTTGATTATATTTCTATATAGTTTCAATGCCCCCATTAATAGTGAAGTGAATGCAAATCTGATCCAATTTATGCCCCTGCTACTACCACTTTGCTGGAAGAATTTGAATATGATATTGTATCTGTATAGACTTTGTTCCAATGTTCCTTATTTCTGGAAATGATGATACCTTTCACCAAGTAATGAAATTGATGGTAGCTAAGTAGCTTGTGTTGGTTCTATTTCTATCATTCTATGTACTTTCTTATGCCCCCATTTCTACCAAGTAATGAAATTGATGGTAGATCAATAGTTTACTTATTTCTGGCAATGATGAAAGCTGCTACTCTGCTACCCTTCTACACTTCTACCAGGTTGCAAAAACAAATGAGTTGGTGTTGATTCTATTTCTATATAGTTTTTAATGCCCACATTTTTGTGAAGTGAAGCTAAACCTGAGCCAAACCTGATTGCATTTAGTATTCATCATGTCATACTCATACATTTTTTTTGAAGTGAATCTAAATCTGAAACCTAAACACTACATTTCTACTAATTTTTTAACTTGTGATGTACCTAGGAACATATTCAATGAGTATTTTGTTGCTGGTCTGCTACACACATGGAATGATGGAACTATGGAAGATTGGAAGAAGGAACTATATTCAAGATCTGCCCCCATTAAAATGTTGAATGTTAAATTTTTTGTTGCTACTTACTATTTTGGAACTTTAGATTACTCAAAGTCTATTCTCAAACTGTATTATGTACAAGTGTTTAGGTAACAACTGTATAACTAATTAACTGTGCTTGGAGTTGTACAAAGTAAAAGTACAAACTCTATTATTTTGCTACTTGTTAGTTGTTACTTGTATTGTAATGTAATGTTGTATTGTTTCACAAACTTATAATTTTAATGTGATAACTGATGTTATTTAATGGTTTTTTATCAACCCGAATGGCCCCGAATATCCGATTCAAACCGACCGGGATCCGAAATTGGGCAACCCGAACAGCCCGACATTTTTATAGAACAGGGTAGGGTTTTAAATTCCTAACCCGAAAACCGACCGGGTATGGCAAATCTTCACCCGTCCTACCCGAACCCGTCCGATGCTCTCCCCTAGTCTTCTCCCTATCTTGCGTTTAGCATTTGTATTTCCAACAGACGGTTTACGTCGTTTCTTGTCCGGTGAATGATTTGGAGCGACAGTGAGAGGGCGGTTGTTACCATACTCTGCCTCTACCTGGTCTGTTTCTTATGGTTGATGTTTTTGGATATGCTGTTGTGGACCGAATCTTGAGGTCTATAATTGATACCTTTGATTAGGGGTGGGCGCGGTCCGGAACGGTCCGGTAAATTAGTAAAACCCATAATGTATCTGTGAGGTTTTTAACGGTTCGGTACGGTCCGGTTCTAAGAATAGAACCATTCGGTACCATGTCATTTTGGAACGGAACAAAACGGTTCGGTACAATGCCAAACACATGCCGAAACATTTGAACAAATTTTGCAATTAGTAGATATCATCACACGGGCCAATTGACGTGAAATTTTGATAAAAATACAAGAAAGTGCATACTAAATACTAAAAAAGATTCAAGAGGTTGACATTTTTGTATTTAAATTCAAAAACACTCAAACAGTGAAAGGAATTTAGTAAAAGTATAGCAAAATGACAATATACAATCGTATAATATCATCTTTATTAAATTCATGAGAACAT